TCCTTGTAATAACAAAGACTGGGTCCTTCCCAGGAGAGGCAGCCAGGGAGATAGATAGGATCTCTAGAGACAATCTAAGAGATCTTGGACTAGTGGAGGAAGCAGAGAGTAGGGGAGAAGGATAGTAGGAAGGGTAGCCTAGGCACATCTAGGAGTTACCTAACAGACAATGAATACCGAGGAGGGCACAGCCCAAATGCTCTGGCGCAGATAGGCGGATCGGGCGAGGAAAAGGACCAGAACGAATATACGAAGGATAGTAGGAGCTTATAGAGCTCCTAGGGATAAATTAGGGGCAGTGGTCTAGACCACTGCCTAGACACATGTCTGTCATAGCCAACTGGCTCCACATGGACGTTAAACTTGATTAAATAAATAAATAAATAATAGGGCAATCGAGAAGGCTAGAAAGACCTTATCTAGTTGCTTTTATATCTACCTCTACTAATTTATATACTACACCGGCTTAATCTCCTGGATAGATAGCCTGAGAAGCTACTGGCCATAGATCTCTATTTAATCAAGCGCGGCAAACTGGGCAATAGTCAGCTAGTAGCGGAGCGGGATAGGCTGATCGGTCCGGCTACTACGGTAGGCAAAGTAGACTAGGTACTGCTAGACCTGACAGTATTTACAATAGATCCTTAACCGGAGATAGATCTAGATTAGTCAGTTCTAAATACTCAGTTAGCAGAAAAAAGTATTGATCTAGATCTAGTCGAATTTATTAATCCGGCTGTCCTTGATTATACAGTAGGCCTAATCTATTAGACACTGTACACTAGCGGTAAATTACTCTAGTAGAGATTCTGCTATAGAATCAGGGAAGCTACTGAGTAGAGTAACTACTATCAAATCCTAACTATACAGATATTCCGGCTACTGGATCAGCTCCAGCCAGGGGAAGACTGCGGTCGGATACAGATCTATTATCGGGATCTAGCTATTAGTCTGTTCTACAGTAGCTTAACTTTTCTGGAGAGTCTGCTTAACCCGGGTCCGGATAATAGCCGCTGAGATCTTTAGAGAGGCTGCCTTCTCGAGTCTCTAATCGGTAGAAGGATCGGCAGTAGTTACTTTAAAAAACTGACTAGCGGCTTAATTAATAAAGAAGTACTGGCAGCTTACATATACTCTACTAGTCGGGTTTGAAGCCTAGCTTGAATCTGAGCTACTGTTTCCCGGCCTCATTTTTATTGTCCCCTATTATGATCGATATAGTTTTTATTTTAATATTTTTTTATAGTCTACTGGGACCGATAGATATACTCACAGTATAGGCAGCTGTAACCGCAGAAAACAGGTAGACCTACAATAGAAGGGCTACTTAGAGGCAGGAAACAGATAATTTCTATCTCAGAATTAATCCAGGGTCGCTGAAGTATAGCAGTTAATACTGCCTGCTGGAGAGCCGGAATAGCTGCGCTAGGATAGGAGCGATAGCACGTCCACAGATAGCTGACTAAAGTAGTAGACAAGATAGTATACTGGCACCGAGGCGCGGTACAGATCCAGATCTGATAGATTATATAGAAAGAGATCTATCGCTTATCTTATAGAATTGAATAGTCGATAGCAAATAATAGACTATATAGATTTTAGTATAGAAAGAAAAGAGAGGAGAGAGAAATAAATATCTATTCTAACTAGATTAGATATAACAGTCACGTATATAATACAAAGAATTTATCAGGGTTACACGTGTTTATATGGCTCTCCGGAATATATATAACAATATACCTATAGCGCTCTACAAGTGACTTGGGGGGAGGGGGGGGGGCTTCGGGGCACGCACACAGGGCGGCGGGAGTACGGGGGAAACATCAAAAGCCGGACGAATCAGCGGGCGAGAAAATGGAGCCGAGGTAGGGTCGATCTACCACTAGGGACTAGGGGCTGAAACAATATGCGCAGAGAATAAAGACGTTAGATCATAATATCAGTATACCTAGTCTGAAAGCAGTAAGCGTGGCGGTCACGACTGAAATAGGCTTAGTTTTGACCACGAAAATCCGAACAGGTTTAGTTTTGACCATGAAATTCTAGCGGTATGCTTAGATAATCTCCGTTCACAAGAACCATCAAAATCCCGAACTTTGACCAGGGATATCTCAACAACCACAAGAGCTATCTTAAATCTGATGGAAGATTCGTACTCTGGAGGGCCTTATTTATTATTCCTGAAAGTTTGGTACTCACCAGTTGTGGTTGAAGCCCAAGTCGAAGGCGGGTTTTGGCTAGTGGACGTACTAGGGTATAGGGTATAAAGAAGACATCAACAAAGACAAGACAATACTATCAGCCAATTATTCTATGATGGAGTGCAACTTAGAGCAACAAGAAAGCGGACTGGCAAGTATATTCACAAAATCCCTAGTCAAAAGTATAAAAATCCAATCAACTTTTCAGCGTACTGAAAACTACAATATGCTCCCTGGCATTCTATCATCCATCCCATAACTTGACTGCTTGCATTATCATAGTTTCACAGACACTCTACCTACCACATCTCGCCATCCCACTATAGTTCAACATTTCCTCAGTTCGACTTAACTTTCTTCCTCCCCACCGTAAACATGGTCTGCAAAATCACAAAGTTCGATGCTGCACTGCCGATAAACGCGAGCGTCGCGCTGCATTGGGTAGGCGAGTATGGATAGATGAACGGTGCAGCAGACGAACAAGACAAAGAACCCAAAATAAGCAACCATAGCCAGAATCCAAACGGGTTTGGCGTAGTTAATATGATGATGGCGACGCTGAGCCCTTGCATGAGGCACGTCTGAAAGAGAAAATACTGGGTTGCCTCGTTCCACTTGCCGTAATCTTTGTTTGACTCCCGCCAGGCGGCACAGCCGAGCAGTGCGGCTATGAAAGTCACGAAAATAACCCAGTTCATTAACTTGATCTGCAATTCCTGTGATAGGACGAATGTATCAGTCTGCGTCAGAATGAAGCTGGGTTAAGTTATTCCATACAGGTTTCATTTGTGTAGGTAGCAGAGCATCACGCCACGTCCCGTGCTTTGGGTTATTATTGGTTTTCTCCTCGAATTTGAATTGTGCGCTTGAGCTAGTGAACCTTGCCATCATTTTGATATTAGTTGCAGTCCCAAGATGAATGCCTCTCTCGCCAAATCCTCCCCAGGGGTTCGTATATGCATAGTCAATCGTCTCGTCCAGGAAAGCAACCTTGTATCGTATATCACTCCATTGCCCGTCGGTAAAAATTTTAGTGGGACTGATCTGGATCCTGGTCAAGAGGTCGGGGAGGGTGGCTGTGATTGTATTCAGTTTTCTTACCCATGTAGTCCAAGGCGGCTTGTTGTTGAATAGCTCATTTTCTTCACCTGGGGCCTCGGAAAGGTGGCTCATGACCGGAGCCCAGAGATTTCTCATTGTGGTGATGTTAGCAAAAGCTTTCGCTATCGTCCCTATCGCATCGACATAATCGTGAGCTCGGTGCGCCACGATATCTTTGTAAGCATTAATGTCGCCTTCGAAAGCGTCAATTCGGTTCTGCTCAACTCCAGGATGATTGTCGAATGACGCTGATCTGTTGGAGGCTTCGAGGAAGTGCTCGTCTATCTCCAAACACGTCTTGTAGATATCTTTGCACAGCTTGGATAATTTATTGCGCTCTTCCAATGCGGTTGGGTCTACGTTTAAGTCAGCGGTCGGGCAGCTCTGTGGTAGATCATGCAGACCCACTCAAAGAAGCCAGTCCATCTTCATAGCGGTAAGAATTCCGGCCGTGGTGTATCCCAGAGTGAGAGTCTTGGATAGACTGTTGTTGAGCCATAACGGACAGTGGAGTGGATGGTCGTTGTTCATCCCAATGCAATGGAATGAGACGATGTTTAAAAATAGAATACAAGACAGGGAGCCGACACGGACTTGCTTTATCAGCCGTATTCATCCAAGGGCTGCGCGGGATCTCCCAAGACAAGTTACACAATGACAATAGCGTAACGTTCGGCGTGATTGATCTAACTCAGTTTGCCTCAGAGAGCGCACTCAGTCTCCTTCCCCAAATCCCTCCAAGTCGCACAACAATAAGAGGGATTCGTACTAGCTTAGTCAGATAAAGCTCCCTAGGCTAAGAAGGCGTATTAGTGGGCTCATATGCTGTATCCGGGATAGCCGTAATCTATGCTGTTATAAACCTTTAGTGTATATTACTAGGTCTGACGAACACAGGGATCCACAGAACTAAACCATACTCCTATCATACGAACACGAACAAGAAAGGCAACCGCTATTCAAATTGAACTTTATTTGATAGTACTGCTTAGGTCGTGCTCGGGACAATAAAGAGCGTTGTCTTTATCTCCCTGGCTAATCATCTGCACGGATATGCAGATCTAACTTAGAAGGATGTCCACAAATTGGTAAACTTAGGTCGATGACGCTGCTAGGCTGGGTCCACTCTGAGACGGATGGATATGTCATGTGAGTCGATTAGAAATTCTAGATCTAGAACGTCGACATAACGACATGCATAGTACTCCCCGTGTACACACTCTGCACGCAGTGATTTTGCAAGCAGTCTTTGAGAAAGCCGCATTGGTCTACAAAAACTGCAGGCCAAATTCCTAAAATGCTAATTATTTTGAAGCTTCAACCTGTTCTTGATTCCACTCCTGGACTAATCGGCCCAGGACGAGCAAGCAGGACCCTCAGTACAGATTCATCGTCAATGTCGATCATGTATGTATGAACCCCGCCGGTGATGTAGAAAAAAGTCCGCAGGTAGATCTGATGGCGGGTGTTTATAAGTATTAAGGAAGCATACAGAATAGCCTATCTATCTTTGTGAGGACAAAATGTGCACAGACTGCTACCCCTTCCGCGTAGGGTGGGATGAATTCTATTTAGTCAAGCTGGTCGGTTTAACGTCCCCAACGTCATCGCTTGGATTGAGATTTCCTAGAAACTCATGTACTTACAAAAACTAGGCAAGCGTTCCAGTGCTGCCTATGCTATATTGGAAATAATTTCTGATTGCAGAAATAAGGCTCGCCACAAAATCCTTCGTTTTCTTGACAACCAGTTTTGTGCCTTCTATTACCGCAACAGTGCCTTCATACATTTGCCTCAATGTGTCTATAATGTAACTGCAAAAACGTGTAACGGCAGTCAAGATGTAGGAGTTAGACTTCTCAATGAAAGCTACTAACAGAGACTCTTGCCGCTCATCCAACTCCAAGACACTTTTGACCCGTCCTCCGTATTTTTTCAGCCAAACTGTCGCTTCGTCAAATTCTTTGATGATCTTGTCCTTCGCTTTTTGTGCCATTCGTTCAATTGCTTCCTCTAGAGTTTCCGTTTGGAGATCAGAGTCTTTTAACTTCTCGGCTGTATCACTGTATTCCTGTGCAACTTGGATGGTGTATTCGAGGTTTTTTTCAGTACGCCAACTAATTTCCTGCTTAACCTCGTTGAAGTCTTGAGGGCCACCGAGGAATCTCATTTCAAGAACACTAATAGCATCACCACAAAAGTTAGTAATTGGATATGCACAAGGTTCTTCGGCCGCCTGGTTCTATCTCAAAAATAGCCACGTACAGCAGAGACATTTCCAGCTTGTATCACGTTTGACTCCTTGAAAGATTCAAAATCTCGGATCTTATAAGATGATTGAAGCTTGCGTCTATCTGCATGAATTCCCAGTACTTGAAAAGATGAGGATGATGATCTCGCGTTGAAAAGTAACACGATCCTTGGGAGACGGTAGCTTGATATGTTCACTATTGAACGGCTGGCTGCAGCTAGAGTAGGCCAATAATGTCCGCCAGGTATTGCTGCGCAGTTTCTTTGCGATAATGCCTACATCAACTTGTCGACGTTTACATATTTCTCTTCAAAATGGAAGCTCTTCCAGCCAGCGATGGTCGCCTGAAGATGCTGTTACGTAACGCATTTAACAGCGACTATTAGACTTTTCCCTAATAAGCTGTATAACAACTCCTTGTACGTTGACTTTGCAAGTGAAGGCTTCACGGTAGGGTACTTTGTTGGATCATTACTAGTCCAGAAGCGAATAAGCGCCAAAACGTCCAGCCTATACTAGCTGCGGTTTCTAACAACGTGGAGAGCTAAATTGACTTTCAAAGGTGGCTGAGCGATAAACATAAGTTGTAGGAGCTGTCAGATTGATGGGGAGAGAGGTGGGGAGGGGGAGGTGAAGGCAGAATGCGCTCATTTGAGCGAATTACTTGGAGCCAGAATCTTTCCTCCCAACCCATGGAACAGGTGGGTTTTGCTCCTACATTTCCGAGGATGCTGTACCACTGAGACACGGAAAGTGAATTAAAATCCTCTAGTCCCCGCACCCATTCAGTCGGGCATGTAAAGATCATATTATCAAGCGATTACCCCGGAGCACCTGAGCAAACATTAGTTGTCGAAGAGAGCAGAACAGACTTCTTCCTCCCCCGGGTGGCCCCGGGGTTTAGTTGATATCAATTTTTCCGACCTCTCACATGCTTACAGTATGAAGGCAGCCAGGATGTTGTTGACCTTTCGTTTAACGCTGTATTGTAGATTCAGGTCACGTTATATTACAGATGATAAATTACGCTCAAATTGTATCTTTGGGAGTTTTATTAATCCAGCACATTGCCTAATCAAGGCTAGGGTTAAGTATTTTGAGCAAAATACTGCTATATATATCTGACTATATTATAGGTCTATTTTTAAATTGTACCCCCTGAGACGCTGCTTTCCCACTTCTCAATCTTCCTTAGTCTCTATCTCTCCCAGAATTGTTTCCCACACCGCATATATATATATCTGGAAGTATGGATCTCTTCTCCTACAATCCTTTGTACTGTATCTGGATCTGCACATCCTGCCAGTACGCGGTTTGCCTGCGGTGCGTACTCTCGCCATAATAGTATATATATCTATTAATTCACACTACTATTTTTCTTAATCATTTCTATATTAAGTCTCTCTATTTTTAATTCCCAGTTATATTCTTCTCTCTTTATTTTTATTTAATTATTTTTTTACCCTCCTACACACTTTATTAACAAGATAACCTGTTAAATTACTACTAAAAATTAGATTATTAGTAATTAATTACTGAGAAAAGTATTTATTTAAAATTTCAGTTCTGTTAGTTATATATGGTTAGTGTAACGGCGGATGACTCAGCTTGCTGCCCCAGGCAACAACACCCCGCCGCAAGCGAGGCGCGGGGCGCCCGACGGCCCACACAGCAATATATTGATTTCGATCGCTTGAGGATTCAGATCCTCAAGCGATTCGTCTGTTCTATCTTATATACAACCCTCCTAGTAATCTGAACACGAAATATCTTCCCCTACTGCCTATCCTGAAGCCCGTTGGCCTACTAGGCTCCGACGGCCTAGCGCTTGCCTGATCACGCACGCCGAAGGCGCCCTTACAAGTAGCTATTATTTTGGTACATATTTAATCTAACTTTAAAAAAAATCCTAACTAAAATCGGCTAATCAGTGCCTATTCTCGGCTCTAGTTCGATCAATAATAGTAGCGATGGCCCACCCATTCTAGATTAGGTCATCGGTCCAACAGGATCTACGGCAGATCATGTCACTTGTATATCATTCGTTGTAGAGATTTACCCACTGTGGGCTTTAAGATTCTCCGGACGCAGTCTAGTGCGTACACACCATCTGTGTCAAGAGCCAGAGGACGTAGGAAGTACTCAAGTCACTCACCTCCAACGCCAGTGAATCTCGCCATATGTAGAACCATACAACCTCGCCCCTCGTTTTAGGGTTCACTTGGTACGGAGCATAATATGTTACACAAATAATATTACACCGGTCTGACTTGGGGGCGGGATCTTAAAGCTCGGCTGACTTACCCGCCCTATAAACAGCGCGGCGGCTACATGCTACATGTTCATAGGCCGTGAGGCACGTAAATTAATTGGTAGATACGTCCGCAGGTAAAGTGCAACATTGAGTGTCATATGATTTGCCTGGTCCAGACGGCGCGTGGTGTTGCCAATGATATCATAACTACCGTAAACTATTTGGTACAGGGAGTAACTAGAACGCAACGCTGCACTGTGGCAAAAGATACCATTATAAACTTCCGCAACTAATCCTCTCTTTGTTCTTACAAGTTGTTCATCCGTACCAATTCAATATGATGAACCATTACATACAAAGGAAGGATATGAATATTAAGCCGGCAATGTGGAGGCTACTAGCGTTCACCCTCCTTGTATATAGTTGGTTACGCCAACTTCGGGTTTGAATGTTCTAACGAAGGCAAAAAAATAACTAACTATTCCTTAGTGACTGTGCTTACCGCCGCTTACCCACAAGCATGCACAGATTGCAATCCTCCGCCTCCGGGTCCGACCCGTCCTGGTCCAATTGATCCTATTGTAGGTTAATATCCTGTGGATCATTCTAGTCGGCGGCTGATCTTAGACCGTTTGCAGATTTCCAGAATTACGGAACTTCTCACGAGGATCGCTAATCTACTACGAAATCCTGCGTGACGGGCTGGTCATCGGCTACCTAGCTTGAAAAAAAAAGTGGTGATTTTTCGGGAGTTGAACGCTGCAATTGATGGTCAGCTGCTATGAAAGCATAAATTGCGATGTATTTCAGAGGCAAAAAAGTTTTAGTTTTTCCGCTATCACTAATAGGTTATTGTTCTTGAAATCCATAACCTCGTAAAGGAGGCAGAGCTATCTAAGGTTTTTGAATTTCTGTTACTTCCTTCCAGCGCTAGACTGGCGTTTGGCCAGGTTAGGTTAGGTTAATGGGGTTAATAAATCCGACTGCAGTTCTGATGTACTATGCTTAAGTGAAAGAGTAATAGTGACGTTAAAATACGTCCAATCCTTTTGACTGGTTGATTTCAAATATAATATTGTTAATTTTCCATTGTAGATCAGTCTAGAACAGTCCAGACTCCTCGTACAAAGGCTTGAGAAATACAAGAAATATATATACTCGACCCGTGGTTATGACTCACACGGAACCATACTCACCTGATAACCTAGCTACGGACCGACCAATCCTAGCTCGCAAGAACTTATGAAGCTCTTCGGATCCTGTAAACGTAAGAAATTTGAATAGAGAACAAAGGAAACTCTTGGCCACATCCTGGTAGGCCTCCTAAAGATGAATGAACAACGTGATTCGATAATACATCACTTTTCATTGGAGGGGAAGATCCAGGTAAGCCCCGCGCACAGAGCACCTTAAGCGCTGATATATACTTGGTGGGTGTGTCTAGACACTGACAATGGGAACCAATGCGACTGAAGGCTAGTCCCAAATCGCATGCCAAGCCTTTCGTGAAAGTCTCATCGGGACTGCCATATACGGAGGCCTATAGCGGCCACTCCGCAACACGTAACGGCGGTTACCTCAGGCAGCGAATACCCCGCCGCACGCGAGGCGCCGGGTACCCGACAGAGCACCAAACACACTATAATAGATCCCGATTATACAGAGAGTTCAGATCCTCAAGCTATTTATGATATTCCAATTTATGTATTTTTTCCCTAGTATTCTAGTCCCTAGTGGTAAATCCACCCTAGATTCCTATTTTCTCGCCCGCTGATTCGTTCGTCTGTCCGTCCGGCTTTTGATGTTCCCCCCCCCCCTCCCCCCCCCCCGTCCGTACTCCTGCCGCCCCGTGTGCGTGCCCCGAAGCCCCCCCCCCAAGTCACTTGTAGAGCGCTGTAGCGATATTGTTATATATATTCCGGAGAGTCATATAGACGTATATTGATAATATATTGTTATATATAGTGTACTGCTATATTGATCTACTTGTAAGTTCTTTATAATAGTTAATAAAAATATATATAATTTTATCCAAGAAACTACTGTATCAGAGATAAAATCTATTTTTACTAACAATCTCACTATTTATTTATTTAATCAAGTTTAACGTCCATGTGGAGCCAGTTGGCTATGACAGACATAACAATCTCACTATTAAGATAGTATTCTGGGCTGAAAATAGATTCAAAAAAAAAGCACACAGTTATATATATATATTAAATAACTTTTTATACAGTTATCTTCTATATTGATAGTAAAATAGATAATCGGAGGATTCTATAGCTAACATTATATAATAAATATAGGCGGGTTGGGTTGGGTTAGATTAGTACACATAGGCTATACTATACTAGGCTTAGTATATATCTTGGCGGGGAACCCGCGGGTCGGGGAGGCCTAAACCTAGCGGGTTTTGGGTCGGTGCGGGGAGACCTATCAAAAACCCGACCCGCGTGCAACTCTAAGCTTGTCTATACAAAAATAAGATAGAATATCGCTGGGTAAATCAATAAACACGCACACCATCCCAGCAGGAGTACACACCGCGGATTTCGCGGAATAGATCTCCACTCTGGAGACTAGAGAGAGAGAATGGACGAATCAGCAGCGGCATGGGTGCAGCGAACCCTCGCTGCACCACGCACTAGGGTATAGGGTGCACCACGCACTAGGGTATAGGGTGCACCACGCACTAGGGTATAGGGTGCACCACACACTAGGGTATAGAGACGGCTACTCTTCGACTCATTCATGAACCCTAGTGACTAAGCGGCGCTAATACATTTTGGGGGTTTTCCGGGATAACCCTGTCGGTGGGGATTGTATTGTTTCTTACAAAGTATGCCTCGAGGTGCACACTCTATTTGCTCGTAACTTCAATACACTTAACATCTCCGTGCCCCACCTCAAAAAAACTGGAACTCTTGATGACAATGCATGGCGCTACGATGGCATTGGTTTGGTTTGGTACTTTTGCCTGGCAAGTTGCTGTGGCCCATTCTGTACATAGTTAGTGCTAGGCGTGATGAGGGGTAAAGCCAAGTCAGACGGACAATTTACACTTGTCACCACAGAGGTGAAGCGATTTTTCCATTCTTGTGTGCTATCTTTGAGACCGGTCTAGTCCTGTAACAAGACCTCCTCAAGCTCAATCCGCCCTCTTAGCCTGAGATACTCCATCCTCCAATCTGAGTGCACCCAGGGTGTTCGACCGGGGAAACATGAACTACTGGCAACTGACGTTAAAAGAGGGTTCCGGCCCTGGTGAAAATGATATCCATAGCTTGGGCAACTTGAGTGTTGACGATTTGTTTAATGCAAGTTCTGGATCCGATGAAAAGCCTCAGAAGTGATCGGCCGCTGACGATTGTAATAGCTTCGCACCAAGCCTGGGAATCATCTAGTGTAAGCTGCTTGCCCCTTCGCTCCCAGGAATTGGCTAATTTGTCAGATTTATGCCTAATCTTCAAGATGGAATGAGCCGGGATCTATATGATAGGGACTTGTGCAACAGATTGATTAAGGACTTTTGTCTGCCTCGTTTCTTCTTCCACCATATGGGATATGACGCCAATGGATTTTTTGGTAGTGTTGAGGTTCCATTCCATACACACAACAATAGAGGCCACAAAGGTTGCGGTAAGCTTCCCAGCTATATGTTCCATTTCCAATGCACGGCATAAATAGTCAAATAAAAGCTGATATGACCGCACAACCAGGGACGTTCTCCCGGTTTCTTTCGAAACACCTACACAGTAGAAGTGCCAACTCAACTGAATATACCTGGCATTACGTGGGACTTTCCACATTATGGCTTAACCACAGCGACATTGGACGCGAGAGTGAGCTTGAGCATGGTACAAGTCCACCCTCATCAAGCGAAACACACATAATGCTTTGCTTCGACTTGGATAAAACCATTGTTGAGGGCTTTCTACAGGCTTTCGATGAAGCAGACATAGTATCCTCTCAGAAAGAGCCATTTTACCAACTCAAAGTGGCGCTTGGCGTCATTGTTGAACGATTTGAAGAGGATTTGAATAGCTTTCAGCCGTTCGTGCGGCGAATTGAAAAGGTATCAGCTTCAATTCCGTTCGAACTTTAATGCAGCGAGTATAAAACTGCTCTAACTTGATGAAGGAACGCTATGAATATCTTAAGGTAATGGAACGCTCTGTCAGGGGAGGTCCTGATGTTGAGAGGTTTACACCATTCGAACGCTACGCTACCTTGTACGATGTATCAAGACATGTGTTGCACGTAGCCGAAATGCTAGGCTCTGCAACCAACAGTCTTGCTTCAATTATGAGGGAGCACGAGATTTGGACGCGTGCTCTTCAAGCACCTCCGATCCTACCTAATAATACAGCGAGTGCCTTGAGACTTTACTCGAACATCCTTTTAAACCTGAAGCTGCAGGCCGATGGATTCGTGGCTAGGATGGAAAACGAAACCAAATGCGTAGGTTCAAGGAAAAGAAACAAACAGAGAGCGCTCTTCTGGCTGATGATGATTTGAATAGGCGTCCGAACTTGTAGCTCTGTTTACTGGTGCAGCTTCACTAGATACTCTTCAACAAACTCTTAAAATGACTCGTGATGAACTCAGTACGTTCTTAAATTGAACTTGGAATATCGTTTAGTATGTACTAAATCTTTATACAGGGGGTGTCCAGTTTGAGCTTGTCCGGCAGAAGAGAATGTTTGAGTTCAAAAATGACCCTGAAGATTGAAGTCTTCTCTCCCAGACATTCAACGCCTTGCCCTTTGAGGTCAGGTCAGTTGAAATGAGCAATGCGGTATAACCAAACCCCGGACCTCAATCGACGACAAAGACAAAATGATTGCTTGGATGGCCTCAGGCTCCCATTGTAGTCATCCCGCACCCACTATGTGTAGTTAGCGCTTCTAGATAGCTTCATCCGATCACCATCTCTCTGCACCGTTCATCTCATCTCTAGTAGCACGTAACTGTAGCCTGTACGCGTAGTACGATGGAGGGAATGGATGAAGGCATATGATGATATGAGTGCTATGAAGTGCTATGAAGAGAGGGAAGCTATGGAGGTGAGGTGAAGGATGTGGAGTCATGGGATGAGTCATCCGCGAACATAGCCTCTCAGTAATGATGACAGGGATTTTGTTGCCCTCGCAAACATATAATTGAAATATAGTTTTACAACTGAATGAGATAACATGAGGCATGAAAGAAAAGGACATGCATTGTTGAAGCAGAAATATGCGCAGCGCGTCGGCGACGAGTCTGACAGGCCATCGAAGAGGGCACCAGGTCCAGCCGAGCTTGTGGAGAAAGTGGTAGCCATTTAAGTAGACTTTTTCTCGCAAAACATTCCGGGACAGCAGGAATTTTGCCGCGATGATCAACAAAAAGCTCTCCGAGTCAAAGCCTGGCAAGAAATTGTAACCTCACAAGCAATTTAACGGAGCTGGCCTGAGCGAAAAGGACTGGGTTGGATGGAAATTGAAGGAGGCAAAAAGCTAGGAAGACATAAGGGTTGTACGGCATGAGATTGAAATGCTTTTGGCGAACCCTTCGAGTTAATCAAACTGAAAACCAGCGCCAGCTTTGTGTTCTCCCGTTTATCGGATAGCCTGTCTCGGCGGGATACTTCACTTATCTTGCGATCAAGTTCTACCCTTTGTACTAGGCTCTCTTCCAAATAGGTTGGACGGAGTCTCTGATAATACCAGTACTAATAGCTCTGGGGCTTTCAATTTCTCTTTGTGTGGCTCTGATTGATGGATAATTATTCTCTTTTTCATGATCTAGCCATACCTTACACTAGCAGCGAATGAGAGCTTCATTCTCGGATATCTGTCTAGCAAAATCGAAATCAGTTCCATACGTATGTAGAGATTTACGGGGTCTCTATCCAGTAAGGATTTGATACTTACTTCATTACTATCAAATGTGGCCCTGAAGCAATTTTGTCACCTCGCTATGATTCAAGGTTCCAGCGGGAGCCTTCCAGAATACCTCATCGGTGATTGTGATCTGGCCCTGGTGGTCCAGAAGATGGCCCAGAAGAAGTTTCACCAAGGCTTCTTTGTTCCCTCGGTTGCTAACAGTAGCCTTAAGAACCTCCTCGGTGACCATAACCTGGGCACCTCGGCGGCGTAGCAGCAGTTTCATCACTGCCTCGCCATTCGCCCAGTTTCCAGCGGCAGATATTAAGACATCCTCAGTAACTTCAATCTCGTCTCCCAAGTAGTCAAAAAGCAGATTTAAGACTCCTTCGCCACTTCCCCAGTTTCCAGCAGCGGCTATAAGTACCTCCTCAGTAATCTTGACCTGATCTGTTCGACGATCTAGAAGAAGCGTCATTAATACCACCGCATTCCACCGATTCCCAGCAGCAGCCTTGACTACCTCCTCGGTAATTATGATTTGGTCTTGGTAGTCTAGAAGCACTTTAAATACTCCCTTTGCATTCCCACGATTTGCTGCAGCGGCTATGACCACCTCCTCATCGATTTTGATCTGGTCTCCTCGATATTCCAAAAGCAGTTTCATCACTCCCTCGCCGTTCTCCCAGTTTTCACCGGCAGCTATAACAACGTCTTTGGTCACTGTGATCTGGTCTCCAAGACGGACTAGAAGAAATTTGATCACTTCCTCGCCATTCCCTCGGTTTCTGGCAGCAGCTTCAAGCACTCGCGTAGTAACCTTCTCATCAAATTCGTCCAGAAGGACAGAAATGACTTCAATACTCGCATCTCGAGATTGAACAGCCAGCTCAAATGGCGTCACACCGTCACAAAGATGACTGGAAATATCCAGGCAGTTCATCTGCTTTGCTTGAGAGTAAACATGGCGAGCTAATGTAGACAATCCCCATTCTGCAGCTATGTGGAGAAGAGACAAATTCCTCGGAAGATGAGTGCCAAATGATCTTCTGATTTCATCAAGCCATTTCTCTCGACATGGAGAATAGATTTCAAAAAACTGGGTCTGCGAAATCTGGACAGCAAATTTTGACTGCGCCATGCGCGCATGTCGGGGCCAATTTTCGATCGCATAATTTGAAGAATAGGCCGGGGGTTTAATGACCAGGTCAATACACCGATAGGCGAGCTCAGCGTGCGTATCCAGCTCATCAAGATGGCCCGCTTGACTCAAATGGTCTCGTACAGACTTATGTAACAGTAGCACCTTTCCGTCCTGAATGATGACCATAAGACGGCAAGATTCAATGTCATCTCGAGTATACAGCTCCCGAGTGGCTAAATCCTCTTCATCAACATTAAGTTGGCAGATTTCAGAAAGCTCAAGGACGCTCAGTGGTCGCAGGGATACAGCAACAAGCTTCAGAATGCGAACCACAATCTCACCCTGCTGTTCTAGGGCTGCGTTGAGAAGTTTCCCATATAGTGAAGGAAGCCCGGGAGGTAAGCCCTTTAACACTTGAACAGCTTTTTTTGAAGCAGTCTGGCCTAGTTGCTCACATACCAAGCCCACCCATAGAAAAGTACCTCCGGCATTCTCCCGAAGAAGGGTCCTGACTTGATCCCTGACCTTCGGGGTATAGGAGTTCTTATTAGCAAGATCTTTCACTTTGTCCTCGATATAGAGTTCGATATCCTGCTTTCTCTGGGGGTACGAAGCTAAATCCTTGTTCGCGAATCCTTTCAAGTATCGTTTTATCTCGGGGTAGGGCCGGCTAGTCACCAGTATCCGAATATTCGAGTTGGCTTTATTGAGGTTCGAGAAAGATTCCTCAAACTGCCGTAAGAGTGTATTTTGTGAGTCCTGATCACATTCGTCTAGTGCATCAATGATAAAGTACTTTCGGCCGGTCTGCTGATCCGCCGCTGCGGCCATGAATATTTGCCAGAGTGCATCAAATGACTCGTAAATATACTGCCCGCGCTCATCGTACTTTGACCAGAAATGTTTGAGGAGCGGGGGGTGATGTTTGAAGAGTTGATAAAGCAGCCCTCTGATCACTAAAGTGGCGGTATTTCTCTGAGGTTTACCCGAGTCGCAGAAAAAGTACGATACCGTTTTCTTTATACTGGTTCCAGGGGCTTTTGCCGATAGTTTCTCGGCGAGAAATATGGACATTGTCGATTTTCCTGTTCCTGGAAACCCATGGAGCCACAGAATGTCTTCTTGTCCGGGACCAAGCCAGGCGATAATTTCCTCTGTGTGGACCATCCACTCACACGTGCCGCTGGCACGAGCTCCTTTCCTACGTTTTAAATCATTCTTGTCCTCCTCCGGGTCGGTCAAACAGAAATCACGAGGACAGGGCCGGTTGTTGATTGTTGTTGGGGCTCCTTGATAGTCTATCAGTAATAATTAACTAATACAGACGGAAGGTCTCGGACGGACTTGAAATTTGAGTGGATTTTTGAGATGGAGCTTATAACAATGTCAAGTTAATCTCCGTCTAGAAAAGCTTCTATGCAACCTGGCTATCTGTGATAGGGTCTGTGGGCGGGATCATACAAAAGTTTTTTCTGGCCTTATCAGCTTCTTTGGTCCACCGCTTAAGCTCTGAGCAAACTGCTATAAACCCAGGATCTTCGGCGCTGGCAAATTTTGTCATTCCCATATGATCACTGTGAATTCCAATGGGAATATAGCCCGGCAGGATTGCTGAGTCTTGTGGTACAACCTATTCCAGTTACATCAGTATATGCCAAGAAGCCTAGTTTTGCCGAACTCACCAAACCAATAGCATGCAGGGGCATTTCCTCATAAAAGCAAGTTATTTTGATCGGAAGCGGTCCTTCTGTTTCACGGGCTTTGATCATCGTGTGAAAGTCATCCTGAATCCTTGCAAGTACCTCAGAATCCCGTTTGAGAACACTGACAAGATTTGTATTCGTTGTTTTCGCTAGGCCGAGGGATCGGGACAAAGCTTCGGCCCATCGAGCAAGGCCAGACCCATGATGCGGTGTGCCGAGAAATACAATACCACAAGTGGAATCGAGGATATTGTGGAGGTGTGGCTCTGAGCGTTGCCTAGCCCTGGTCAAGGCCTATCACAGATATTAGCATAACTACTTACCAGTATTAATTATTCCTACTAAATAATATGGTTCTACCGTACATCTTCACAGACCAGCCCACCTAAGCTATGACAGACAAATATAATGGGTCGTTCATTCTGTGCGTGTTAATATGCTGCAACCTATACTAGTGCCAGAGAGTGGGCTGCCTTACTGCGTCGTCCTCTCTGTACGCAGAAAGGGCCGCCAGTAGATTCCACGCGTGATTATTGACACGGCTTTGCGACACTAAGCCTTTCCAATCAGCGACATCCGCATCATATCCAAAAGTTAGGATGCGGGCTGTCGGGAGAATCGACGGGAGGAGGGTCTTGGGCCAGGGCTCGGTCGCGTCACGGGCAGTCCAGGTTGCATCGCGGTCACCAGTGAGACCGTGGACAAAGACGATGCTGCAAGCAAAACTTTACAAATGTTCTGCAATTTATCTTATGAAGGCACCTACTCGATATTACTGCCACACGAGTCGTGCAATCGTTTAATGCCAGTCGAGAAGGTTTTCGGCTGGTGTTTGCATGCAGTTTCATCATCATCGGCTGCTGCCCCTCTGCGGAAGAACCCCTTCACCGTTTTCATCCTGACCATGCACAATTACTGTCGGCTTCTTTTGCCGCTCGAGTCTCAAGTTCGAAAAGCAAAGTCTTGCTGGGAAATTTTGAAAGCAGAGTGGGACGTTAGGGAAGGGAGGGGATTAGCTTGGGGTTGGATTGGGGGCATCAATTTGCTCCTCTCCGTTTAAGCAATCTTCCCTTCACTAGGATGAGTGAAAGTCAGTCCCCAAAGGAAAAAGACGCCAGTGAGGATCCTGATAGCAGTATTGCGTGTTAGCTTCGATCAAGGCCATCGAGGGGATGAAGTCGCAGAGCGTCAAGAGGGCTGTACCTAACACGCTGAGTATCGTGGTGAACAGATTCATGGATTGTCTGCAAGCAAAGCGATGTCAGGCGCTGTTTACATACATCAGGCCTTAGGCTATAACCCAGATCAGGGAGTGACTGATGAAAGTGACACCTCCCCACTTCGCAAGACCTCGCTGACTTGTTGATTTGTTTGATTTGTTTGCATGCTCATAGAAAATTCGGGGTTGACCGTTACAATCACAATACACAATCAAGTATTCTAAGCGTGGTAAAGTATCGTTCTGAGAAAGACACAGGATAGATACGGGACAAAAGATATCCCGGGGTTGCCCTGAAACGAACGAAGTGAGAGGAAGGGGAAACGCCCCGCACGTGACAAAAAACCTATATGTTTCGCGACTCAACAGACTGCCAAAACTCCATACAAATTTGTGGCGAATTGAGTCCAAAATCGCCTTGATTGGCTGGCTGTAATTCATCTCATTGGTCTCATTGGAGACATCTCGTTCGATGTCATTAGAGATCTCTTGTTCGATGTAATTGGAGGGTACTCTTATAGTGTCATTGGATATAGCTCTTACTAGAAACGACACGAGTGTGCATTTTCTCTGTTCTGATCCAATCCACTCTTTTGTTGGCTACACTCAGGCCTCGTGTTTTGGCGACCTCGATTCTAAAAAGTCCTATCGGCTTCTGTTACAGTAGGTGATCACCTGACACCCTGTCCCACCTGCCGCCCGATTTCACCACCACCAGCGATATCGAATATGAAGCAATTCAACCACATATAATTACTATTATCGTGAGATCTTTTGGTGGATTAATATGGTCATTGTTAGGACTCTATATACAGTTTTTAATTGCTCCGAAAGTGCTGTAGGAGCCGGATCTCGCGGCCTCGACGATTTACTGTTGGAGGTGCCTCAGGGACTTCTATAGGCGTTGTTAGTTTACTTTCTATAGATTTTTTCTAATATAAAGTTTTAGGGGTTTTCTTTAGAGTTTTCTTTACTTACTAGAAGTTATTTTGAAGCTGGTAATCTGTCTTCTTTGCTAGGTAAGTATTCCTTTTTTATTGTTTCTTTTGCAGCTAGAGATCTTCCAGAATTTAGACTGTGTTCTAGTATTTGGTCATGTTCTCCCCGCTTTCAGCTGTTTTGAGTGCTCTGTGTAGTTCTGCTGCTTTTAAAGCTGGCCCTACTTAGGACTCTACTAGATTCGCTACTACTTATCTACTCCAGGTCTATAGGTATATCTAAGACCCTAGGGCCCCCGCGATATATCGGTGTTGGTGATAGTGGTGATAGTGGTAGTAGTACACCGTTTAGGGGTGCCCACCTCGACGCGCTCGGTAGACCACTACTATAGGGGTTTGGGACCTCCATAGCGGTTCCTGGGGCCTCAGGGGGCCTTTCTCGATCGATTGACGCGTTAAAATGACGTGTTTAGATTGAGTGTTGATTTTGATGTTCCGAGCGATCTCCCTTATTATCAGTCGCACTAGGGAGTAGATACAGAGCTTAAACAGTTTTTATACTAGGCTTATTTAGGTAAGGTCTGTAATTAATAAGCGATACATTACCTAATTAGGTTTAATCTAGACTTGGCGGGGAACCCGCGGGTCGGGGAGACCTATCAAAAACCCGACCCGCGTGCAACTCTAGTATAGATACAGAGACAATATATTTTATTATAGACAAAAAGATTTATTATAACAGAATTTCCAGATTGGTAAAGCAAATCGATAGCTAAAGATAAGAAGAATAGAATTCAGATTAATACTACTAAGTAGAAAATAATATATAGATATAATACAGATTATACTCTTCTTATATAAAATATTAATAGATTATCTTATTGTTAATAAAATAGAAATATAACTTGGGAATCGAGAAGAAAGAAAAGAGATATAGAAATAAGAGCTACTGTTTAAGAAAAAAATTACAATACCACTATATATATTAATAGATATGCACACGATCCGGGCGGGAGTACGCACCGCGGACCAGATCTACTATCGGACGAATGGACGAATCAGCGGGCGCGTAAATGGGACGAGGGTAGGGTGTACTATGCACTAGGGTATAGAGGGAGTAAAGGAGAAATATTAAACGTAGCCATCTGGCATAGCATTCGACTCAATATGGTGCTATTGTGGCAACGTTTGCGACGACTCCTTCCCAATGATGGGACATTAGTAGTGACGTTAAGTCGCCATGTTGGCCTCTTTTTCCCGAGCCTTATGAAACGACCATCGTGGAGCGAATCGCTCGAGTTCTAATCTATTTCCAGCTCTGATAGTGTCACCGCGGTTAGTCACTTCGTTTCTTCATCCAATTCGCTTGGGGTTCCGCTGGAGTGATATGACTCTGGGAGTCTCAGGGGTGTACACCCTAATGAATTACAAGAATCACCCAAAAAATCAAGTGCAGATGTCTCGCTGTAATTGAGATGTTTTAAATTTTGCCCTATAATGCTTAACTAGCGCTCAACTATCTCCACCTCCGGATAAGATTGCCGCTCCAAACTGGAGGGCCTTGCCCCAAAACTCCATCTTCTTTTCCTTGCGCCGTATTTCACGTTCCCTAGACGCAATCAATTGTGCCTCAGTTTGAAGCCAATCATACTCTTGAGCAATTTTAACTGCGTCTTCATCAACCTGAACACAGGCTTTTGGAAACACTCCAGTCTGACCATTCCAGTCATTCCTTCCATAGTACCAATTATCGTATTCGGGGTAGCTGGTCACGATGATCCTGTCGCCGAAGCGGACGCTCATATCTTCTGGGTCTTTCTTGTCAAAACGTGTGGTGGCAATAACAAATGCAAGGGGCATTATATTCAAGTTGACTTGTCTAGCGAGAAGAACGGTTTCTCGCGACCACCACTGCCTGTCCATAGGATAGGTATCATCGAAAATTAAGTTTGGTGTGAGTGCATCGGAGCAGTCGTGATGGATGGTAGAGCCCTTTTCCATAATACAGCTGGGACAGACAAACCATTTCTTACAGGAGGTACAAGTGAGGTGCTGCGCACGCCACAGGTTAATAGTTTCTATCACGTGATGAGTCTCATGAAAAGATCACAATTCCTAGCGTGCCGACTCACCTTTGCATATAGAACAGTTCTGTTGATAATTTCGCTGCGGCAGTTGATGTAGATTGTTAGGCGGCTCTTGGCAGTTGATGTAAAAGGTCGTGCATCCGTGCTCATGGGCTTTTCCAGTGCCCTCTTCAAAGCAGCTGGAGCAATATGTTATGATACAGGTAAGGCAAATATGTATTTTGGCAAGGTTTAGGAAACCTAAGTGCAGCTTTAGTGTGGACGCATTTTTATTGTAGCCTACCTACTTACCGGACCCGCATAGTGAGCATCGAAAATCAGACTCTGACAGGAGCCCTCTATTTTCCAGCTCAATATCTTTGACGGGCTTGTTATTGCAAGCGTTCGAACTCTGTTTCATCATTTCGCGCCACGCATTCTCACCAAACGACATGACAAAGCTGTTGTGGCTGTGCTTATAGAGGTTATTCGGACTGGACATATCGATTCTACAAATGGTAAGTGAGTGGCCTGTGATTGCAACGCTCCAATGCATACTTCTGTTGACATTCATCACACTTGCATGTAGCAAGATTAGTATCAGCTGACGAGATTTTGTATATGATTGTGATAGACTCCCATTCATGCGCCGGATCGTGCTCTCTCTTGCAACATAGAAGACAAGACGGGCAGTATGCAGCACTTGCTCCATAAACCTTCACACAAGTGCGACAATCTGTCACCGCCTGTCCAGATTCAAGGCCTGAAGAAGTAAGCAACAATCCTAATGCATATAAGTTCGAAGCTATCAACCAACTGACCTTGACCACACCGCGTGCAATGGGCTGTAGAACCCTTGGAAGCGCAAACTCTACAAGGCTCACAGACTTCCAACACACCAATCTCCGGTGGAAAAACATATTCCAATTTTTTATGTTCATGGTCCTCCCAGCAACCTCGTCCATCTTCTAGCACGCAGCTACTGCAAAAGGCAACATCACATTGCATACACTGTACCCGACAATGAACCATCTTCATGCATTTTTGACACTCTACCATTTCTGGTTTCGCCCCGCGTGGTACCCTCCGGCTTCTTTGATGTCTGAACCAACGGATATGTGAGGAGGGATGGTCACCATGGCAGTCGTTGCAAAAGAGAAAGTCGCAGAGCAGACAAACTAGGTACCACGTGTCGTAGGGTATTCCTATGAATGACGATATCTGGTTCACATTTCTGTGGATACTGGTATATAGCGCGTACCTTTCCGACAGTGTCGGCAGCTCACTGTATACTGCTCGTACATCCTGTCAGAATATAAGAATATCAAGGTCAAGAAAGGATGAAAAGATCAAGATTGGATAAAGTAAGCCAATAGTGGAAGCAGATTGAATCGATCAAGGAAGATGAAGATCGTCAATACGAGTCAATTCTGTAGGGACTTTTGGCCGTATTATCTCTGATTCAGTATTGATCCACGCCTTATAGAGATCGGTTCAATAGAGATCGAGTCATATCAAAATTTTTCTTTTGTGGCTTTGTTTCTCCCATGGCTATAGTAGATTTGGAACCAAACTCTTTTTTAAGAAGATGTGACTCACGTCTGGAATGACCTAGATTAGACAGATACCTGGTTTGAGGAAAAGGATTAAAAGTAACATGATCCCGATTGGAGAAGAGCTTCTGCAGTTAGCGGTCCAACTTAAGTACATGACCAGGTCGAGACCCTCTGCTTAATTCCATTGCCAGACATCGCTAAAATGAGGCCAATCAAACGACCATTGCCTTTATGTTGTAGTTTAATAAGCTTCCGATCGGTAGCGGCAAAAAGATTATTTAGGGTTTCATGGCGTAATCACACACCTTAAGTTGGAGAACATTGTATACGGGGAACCTAAAATGCTAGGCTGGACAATCAACGCCAGAAAAAGCGATGGGTGGTGTGATACTATTTGTTTTAAGCTCCACATAGTAGACTAATAACCATTGCTGTGAAGACAGTCTATAGTAAAAATCCATGAATTCTGGGTAACACAGGATTTGTTGCATGACTTGTCATGCAACTCGATGAAATCATATTTAGGCTTGGGGATAGTCTTACCGCTGTCGGTTGTAAAGGTAGCAACCCGGTGACACCTGCAATGATATATTATGCTTCCTCCATGGTGAATATGCACTGAAGCAGCTGATCCTCTCTATGAGGAGTTATCTGAATCGAAGCGCTTGGCCGAATCATGTGGTTGGCGCGGGGTAAGTCAGGGATCGAAAAGGTTTCGTGTAGACCTCTGCAGGCCCGCGGGCGGCCTGTCATGGGCTCAGCCCAGCCTAGCCCATGGGCAGGCTTTAGACTGAGACTAAGATCTAGAAATAGACTGTAGGCTAAAATTATAGCTTCTAGATCTTTAGTAGACGCTCTATAGATTTGTATAAAAGTAAAAATAACTGTTTATATAACTTTTATAAAGATATACAGTATTAATTATTTTTTTATATATTTAGCTTACACCGTCGGGTTTTGCGGGGAACCCGATCAACTCTAGTTGGGATAGTCCCAACAGGATTCCCCAACAACAGTATCTCTCTACAGGAATATTCAGCTCCCTATATTTTGTATTCTTTTGAGGCGTCATCTCAACCGCCGTTGTCTATTGGATTCCCGGCCTGCAAATTTGCCAGCAGAAGCCAGCCTATCCTGTAGGAACCTCCCGGAAAATTTTAAGGCAGAATCATCCAAGAAATTTATTATGGTTAGTGGGAGTATTATTGTTATAGTTATATCTAGTAGTCAAGTTTAATACCTATGTAAAGTCTTTGACTATAGCAACTATATTTTTCTGAGCACTATCGTATGGGAGAATACCACTGGAGTAACCTTTCACTCACAGAGCGTACTCACCGGTGTTTACCTGGGTTACATGGGATGGTGCTGTATGACGCTGATAATTTAACAGTAGAAATTATTAATCTGTTGATCTCAAACATGCTAAGAGATAGGCTGGGTTTAGACCCGACCCGTATACCTGCGAGAAAGCAAGTCACGTATGATTCCTTTGTGGGCACCACTAAAGAAACAAAGACAGCATCTGAACCCTAAGCATTAAATCACACCAGGAGCCGCGAGAGCAGTAGACAACAAAAGGGCACTATGTCTTTCTGGCTCTGGCAAATCGTAAGCTGCTAGATCAACACCAGAGAAGCCAGCCTTTTTCAGCTGTTTGTTCCACTGCTCTGCAGATTGCAGGGGGCTCTCTGTTCTACCCTCGTCGACACCGAGCCACCAACCAGACAGCGGACCAAAAGCCATGTTGAAGTAAGGCGTTAACCGAGTAAGCTCAACCAGGCCGAGTACACCGCCGGGCTTCAGCAACTTGTGAATGTTACCCAATGACTTAGTGAGCGACCTCGTCGCGTGTACGACGTTCGCTGCAATGATCAAGTCATATGAATGCTCTTCGAATCCTTGCTTGGCGGGGTCATTTTCCACATTGAGAGTCTTGAATGTGAGCAGACCTTCCCATTTTTTCAGAGTACTTTGACCCGTCTTGAAGAAGCCATGCGAGATGTCGGTATACATATACTGCGAACAGAAGCATTCACCGTTCGGACTGCATGCGTTCAGCACTTGGAAGGTCGTACCTCCTGTGCCGGCACCGACCTCTAGGATCCTCAGGCCTTTCTTACGAGAAGTGAGGATCTTAGCATATTCGGCCACATATCGGTTGGGTCTGGCGCCCTCGTCGGAAAGATACATCCGGAATAGGAGGTTATCTCTGAGCATATGGAAGAGGGGGTTGGTTTGGCCGGTCAACATGCGAACTATCTCCGGCCCAATGCGGGATATTGCTTCCCCTTCGGTGCCCAGCTTCAAAGTGAGCGCTTGTAGGCCTTCCTTAGTGCTTGGGCTCTGCTCAATGAGCATCCGCCCTGACTCAGATTTTACAAACTCTTGCATCACCTTCCACCAGTGGACTCTGTGGTCCTGTTTCAGGACCAGCCCGCGGTCCTGCACCTCCTTGACAGCCCAGTCGATGTACCGGGCACAGGCCGCCGATCCGACGTTGAATTTCTCGGCCGCGGACATTCTAATATCGTCAGATTGCATGGGCATGACAACCGACTCCAGCATCTCTGCGGTAACTGGGACTCCGCCCACGGAGGTTGCCTGACCGAAGGTATCTTCTTCCACTGGAGCAGTATCCTCATCTTCATCCGTGACAGTGTGAGCAGTAAACTCCATACCGGACCATTCCGTGTTGAGCTCACTGTCGAGCCACGACTTCCATCCTTGAACGCCGCCAAAGTAGAACATAATCTTAGCAGGCTTGCCCGGGATATTGGTGCCGACGAACCAAGAGCGGTGCTCAGTGGCGGGCTTGGAGATCCAGACAGAATTCCACAGGCCGTCGGCATGGCCTGTCCATGCATCCACAGCTTTCTCAGTGACATTGACCGCCACCAGCTTGTTCTCCTCCATGTGCCCAATAGTTTTGCCGATCCAGTCCATGGCGATCTCTAGCATCACGGGCTGATTGCCTGCCGGCATATGAGGGCCGCAAACGATGAACATGTTAGGGAACCCATTAACCAGCACACCAGCGAAGGTGCCCAGTCTGTCGCTCCAATGTTGCTTTAAGGATTCGCCGTGGCTACCAGTAATCTCCATTTGGTTCAGCGCACCCGTACCGGCATCGAATCCTACCGCAAAAATGATCATATCAAACTCGTATTCCGCACCGGAGCTAGTCCGAATTCCTTTCTCGTACAGCTCAATCTCATCTCTACTAATGTCGACCAGGTCGACGTTGGGCCGATTGAAGGTCTCAAAGTAGTGATGTCCAGACGGCGGACGCTTGGCACCGAAAGGATATTTGGGACACAGGATCTCTGCCTTCTTCGGGTCCTTCACGATGGCGCGGATTTTCTGGCGGATGAATTCTGCGCACTGCTCGTTCGACTGGGGGTCCATAAACACATCATCAAATGTCTCCATCTGGAAGTTGAAACAGCCACGTTCCCAGCCATCGTCGAAGACTTGTCGGATTTGGTCGGGGTCCGTCCCGTTGAGGGTTCTCCCAGATGCTCTGCAGGCGTGACCGGCGAGATTCATCGATGCCATTTCCCATGTGGCATCGTGGTTCTTCTTGACGTCGACGACCTGGTACTCATCGATGACATAATTGCGCCCAGGAAGCACATAGTTCGGTGTGCGTTGAAACACGGTTAGTTCCTGGACGGCAGGCGCAAGTTTGGGAATGAGATGGACACCGGTGGAACCCGTACCCACAATGGCGACACGCTTCCCTTGGACATCCACCTTGTGTGCAGGCCAGGTGGATGCCTGGTACCACTCGCCGGTGTATGTCTGGAGCCCAGGGAAATCTGGGACCTTGGGAACCGACAAGATTCCCGTTGCCGGGAGAAAGTAGCGACAGGTGGTGGACACTCCATTGGCAGTGGTGATCGTCCAGATGTTCTCACTGTCACTGTAGCGTGCGGACGCGACTCGTGTACCAAATTCGATATGCCTTCGCAGATCGTAGCGGTCTGCCTCTTTTGTCAGCTCTATATCCTTTGCCGTTTCGCTAGCGCAGTCCCAACTGACCCACAACACGACCCAAGTATTGTTGAATTTCTTCCTGTGTCGGATATCGTTCTTTAAAGTTCCATTCCTCGAGCAACTCTGGGGCAAAATTGAAAATGTAAACCCAAGCCTCGCCGTCTGTCCGGGACCCGGGATAGCGATTGTAGTACCAGGTGCCTCCTACATCTGGTGCCGCGTCGAAACACTTGACGGACAGGCCCCGGTGCCGTAATTCCCAGAGGGACCTGATACCGCTGAAGCCGGCACCAATGACGATCGCATCGTAATCCGTCCTCTTGTGCGGCATGATGGACTATACGAGAAGGATACAAGGTGACATTCACCATGTTTGAGCACTCTATGGGAAAACTGACATGTTTTGAGTCCGCTCGTCGGAGCGGTTCCTACCGAGGGAGCCAATCGCATGGCTCAGACTACCAGAGGTTCGGTTCAGAGTGTTGGATTAAGCTTATGGGTCCTTCGGTATCGGGCGACTACTAGTCAATCCGAAGGATTTTAGGTCCTAAATACTTTCGCTATTCTCGCTGGAATCGGTATATCATCGGCACCACCCCCTGCATGCTTCATACTTATTCATTTGTTCGAATTCCGGTAATATAGTCACACTAGCTCCCACCCTATCATTTCTATCCAATAACAAATTCCAGACTATTTATTAGTGTGGGGACTTTTTGAAAATTCGGTGGTTCGGACATATCCAGATTTGGTAATAACTGCGGAAGTCGGACCAAAATCCAGCCAAGCCCTAGTTTAGTTTTCGATTCAGCAACAAAAGACACGAAAAACAAGCTTATTCCAACAATAGGTCCTTCGACCGGTTCCTGCACCTGTCATGCAATCCATCCGACCGAACCAGTCGGCCCTGCATCGATCCTTCGATGGGCTAATACGCCTCCGGCCGGACCCATTCCAGCTGAAACAATAAAGGCCTGGTGAAGGGCCACTGCACAGATCGATTGACCTCCCAGAATAACCAATCATGGCATCACTCTTCAGTGCCGATAATGCTCCTCAGCTGGGCGTCGCCCTCCTCCGCGTGTCGCCCCTCGTCATCTCGTCCGCGTCCCTCATGTTCAGCTGGGCGCAAGACATCTCGCTCGGCGCCTTCCTGCATCCTTCGCTGCGGACAGATCCCACCCACCCGAGCGGCAAGATCCTACCGCGGTTCCTGCCGGCATTCATGAAACCGGGGATTTGGGGCATTGGATTGACATACCCACCGGCCACCGTGCTCTGCCTAGTGAACGGGTTCAGCGGCCAAAGCTCGGAGATCCGTCATCTCTACTTCGCCGGTGCATTCTTCAGCATCGCTCATTTCTGCTGGGGGCCGTCCATGTTTGCCATTCTGCGCCGCATTCAGGACCCTACCACTGCGGGGGTCCCCAACGAGAGCGCGCTCGAGACGTGGTTGCCCCGCCATCACAGCCGGACGCTCTTGGTGAATGTGCCAGCGTTCCTGTGCATTTTCGCAGCGACAGTGGCGACCATCGCGGAGGGGTTGAAGTAATTATGTTACATCCCCTGTGGATTGCTGTTCGTCAATGTTCTGGAATTTACGTACAGTTAGCAATCCCACGTGCATCGTGCAATAGTAAACTTTCTGTCCCTTCCATAATCCCAGGAATCTTCAGCAAAATGTAACGTTAGCCGTTGGCAGCTTGATCCAGACTACTAGTTAACGACTATCAATTTCCTTCTTCTTCTCCGAAAGCCCCACTGCCTCGTAAATATCAGATCCAGGGATCCACAGTCGATTTGGCAGGATCCGCCGCGGCTCGATTCCCACTTGCACTTTTCCACCAATAGGATCAAACCTGTCAGGGGGCCGAAACTGGCCGACGGAGACGTGGGGAATGCTGGAGCAAATCACTGCCTCGGCGATCCAGGTCGCGTTGCGTGTTGACACATTGAATGATCGTAGGATTAGCTGCGTCAGGGAGCACATGCCGGTCAACCAGTATGCTTATTTCCTAATTGTTAAGATTGCATATGCAGGATAAACGTCGGGCAATTGCCCCTTTCGGTTGGAGTCCCGATCCACTCTCTAGGAATAGCAGTTTTCGGTGATATCGATCTAGTCGAGTTGAGGATAGTAATAAATAGATTCTGCAGACAAGGGCCACCGTGAGACAGGATTCAGAGTTACAGTTTCGCTTAGTCGACCACCATGGACCAGCCCGAGGCATTTCCCCCCGGCTACAAGCCCTCGACCCACATTGCGGAGCTACCAGCCACAGCCCCAATACAAGACATTCTCTCGGTCATCGACCGTGATGGCGGCGTTATCGTCAATGGCCTTGTCTGCGAGGAAGATCTAGCTAGTGTTGAACGGGAAATTGCGAAATACACGCATAACGACCGCGAAGACGATGACGGATTTTTCAAGGGGCTCGTGCCACAAGAGACAGTTTTGATCGGCGGCCTCGTCGGCAAATCAGATACCCTCGCGAGAGTCTGCGAGCACCCGGTCCTGGAAGCACTACGGAAAGAGATCCTGACGGACCATGGGACCAGGCGAGTGGAAGGGTATGATCTGCCCTACCACATCGACCCGTTGCTCTCGGTCAGCTTGAGCTTCCGCATGGGCTATGGAGCGCCGCGACAGCTACTGCACCGTGATGACGGGACACACTTAATTGAGCATGAGAGCAAGCCCTACCGCTTGAACCAGGCGGCGCAGCTGGGGTGCTTGATTGCCGGCGTCGAGACGACGCAGGCCAATGGTGCCACAATGTTCATCCCCGGCAGTCACCGATGGGATGACCAGCGAGAGCCACGCTTAGACGAGGTCACGTTTGCTGGTGCGTCCTCCCTCGCTCACGCCAGACCACGGCTAGCACTAACTGCATGCAGAGATGAAGCCTGGCGCCGCCCTCATTTTCTTGGCATCGTGTTGGCATGGTGCCGGCCATAATAGTGTCCCGGGTGTCACTCGCATCCTGCACGGCCTGTTCTTCGTGCGCGGCACCATGCGCACCCAGGAGAATCAGTTCTTAGCGATTCCTCGCAGCAAGGCACTGACGATGAGTGCGACGATGTTGAATCTGTTAGGGTATCGCCAGCCGACCGCAGCGTTGGGGATGGTGGAAAATGGGGATCCAATGTTGAACTTGGCGGCGGTGTTGGCGGCGGCGAATCAATAGTCGTCGATGCTATATCTTGTATCAGCCGAATGTTCTTTATAGATCTAGACAAGAAGAAGTCAAATGTAACGGTAATACATATACGAGGACAGTGACCCAGATAAGGTCCGCAAGGCCTCCAGTTTCCGGCCCCCATCGTGTTTTCGATCCACCCTTTTATTTAGCGCCAGGATGGCATTCCTTGTCGCTGCCTCCACTAGCGTGTGATAGAATTTTATTTGGTTTATTTAATTAACATGCTGCAGGCGATGATAAGAAACGGAAATGCACGGCTGACGATCCATCGTCGGTAACGGCCGAAAAAAAAAAAAAAAAATAAGTGAAGGGTCAGCATACTATCTGACAGATCTCACCCTTCTGGATTTCCGGATCACATTCTCTTCAGCAGACGATAATAAAAACAGAAACACAACGGGGAAAAAAAGAACAAAATAAAGGGATAATTTACCGCACACCATGAGTATGCTCGTTCATGATCTCGGGCTGTCACGGAGGGCATGCGACCGCTGTCATGGCCAGAAGCTGCGATGCCGCCGGGAGAACAACAATGAGCCCTGTGTTCGCTGTCAGAGAGCAGGCGTCCAGTGTGCCCCAAGGCCCGTGAGATCCAGACATCGCCCACGGGCACACACCACGCAGCAACCAGCGGACATATCGAATGCGAACCCGACACAATCCCTAGGTAAGCCCGGGTGTTCATTAGCAGGTGTCGGAGGACGGCCAAGTGCTAACCCCTCGGCAAAGGAAATCCATCAGAGCAGACGAACAAAGACATGTCAGAGCATTTTCATCTCTCCCCCTCGAGCTTGTTAGACTTTCCCGCGGACTTGGATCTGGGACTTGACTTTGCGTCGCCGCAGTCCGGCATGGATCTAGTGCCCATCCAGAATCATCCGGAGAGTCAACCCTTTCCTCCGGAGCCACGGAGCCGTATGGGTGGGCGATTTGAACCGGACCATCAGAGTGAACTCCACGCCGCATCACAGAGCTCGTATCTCCAACCCTCCTCCACATCCACACTGTTGCCCTACTCCGAACCAGCGACGACACACTCCCAACATCGCTTGTCCCTCGCCAGGACAGTGGCTCCCAAAACCATTAACGTCCCGTCACAGGAAGCGAATAACCTTATGGACTTCGACCACCGGGACGGGACGGCATTGAACAGCGGCAGTGAAGACACAGCGGCGGACTCTGGGTACGGGCAATCCGTCTCGAGTCGACCACATTCCAACAGCAGTGCCACCCAGAGCTCATATTCGCAACAAACGTCCAAACCGACGGGAGATATGACCTCGTGGGTTCGTAAATTGTCAGACATAAATGTGGAGCTGCACCAGCATATGCTGGCCATCCCGTCGGTCGATGTAGAGCACAGCCCGTTGACCAACTCCAAAACGAGCAACGGTCCCAGTTCCCCCCAGGAACTGGCAGTAGATCGCACCTTCAAACTCTCTCATCAGTATATGGAAATCCTGAGTGATATCTTCTCTCAATACAAGACCCGCCAGACATATACCGGATCACCCCCGGCAGCGTTGGCACTAGATCAACCCTCCCAGCTGCTGGTCCTATCCAGTTATCTCTGTCTGGTTGAGTCGTATGACAAGATCTTGCAGCACATCAAAGCATGGACTGAAGTGCGATTGGACATGGAAGGATCGACGGCAGAGGAGCACTTCCCCGTGCAACTACCCAGTGTCGCCATCGGCTGCTTTCAGCTACCGGCATCATCGTCCACTCGACCACTAGTCTTGATCTGCATCATTGAGGCCACTATGACACAGATCCACGACCAAGTCAATGAGATGATGCGACCTGCCCGGACGATAGGCGAGCAGGGCACCCTAGGCGGCGACGGGCTGAGCGGCGTGGCCAAAGTGACGGTACAGGCAATAAGGACTAAGGAAGATTCCACGATGAAGCTTCTCCACGAAGTATGGCGACTGGCGTTGCGATGTGGGGATGACGGGAAACTTAGCGCTGGCGCAGGTTAGGTTATTTGACCTGGCAGAAATAAAAAAAATAAATTTCCCTTGTTCCATTAGCATTCTGAAAAGTCATAAATAGGTACAATTAGTCATCTCCTGGATATCGTCAAACGCATCAGAAAAATCAATTGCTGTCTCTTCGCTTTCCACCAGAGATCCGCCTAGGGCGCCACACTGAGCTGCGCAAAGGCTGGATATTCGGGTTTACCATCTTCGCCGATGTTCACCACCTTCCCATCGCTCACGTAGGTCTCTACCCACCCGATACTGATTTCGGCATGAATCCCACTAATAAAAGGCTCCTCCTCGGCCTGGAGCACCTGGAACTCCGGGTCTGACGCCCCCTTGTAGAATGTCTCCATGTCGCGGAAGTAAAACTCGACCTGGGCGTCGTAGTCGCGGACCACCCAGGGGCTGCCCCGTTGGGCGTTCAACTGTGTCGTCATGTCCCGGAAGGACTTCGGGGCGAAATACTACACAATCATGATTCAGTAGCTAGCCAAAGCACGTCAGTGGCGCATCGCACGAAGCACTTACGATCGAAAATCCCTCGATCCCATTCTTGGCGTGAAGCTTGGCCGCGCGTGCGGCATGTTGCTCAGTCACCCAGCAATGGAAGTCCTCTTCACTGACGTGTGGTTGGCGGTAGTGCGCCACGGTCATGCGCAGGAGGCGTCTCTTCTGGATGGGCTCGGCCATGGTGGTAACGGGCCTGACAAAGTTTGGTGGAATGGTTGGGAAACTCTGAGCTGGGTATCCCCATGGGGGGGAGGCAGGGTGGTGAGAACTTTTGTAGCGAGTCCAGGGGGTGGACCGACACCGTGATCGGCGTTCGGACCTGATGGGGTTCAATGTGTTTTGTATGCAAGCAAACACCGGACAGTGGTAAAAGTGGAACCACATATGCTTCTCAGACCTTGTCCGTACAGGGAAATTGCGCCGAGCGGTGACGGGTCTGTTCATCAGAGAAGAACTTGATACTTAGCATTCGAAGGGACTAAGGTTGAGTTAGATTGCGGAGGGACATGTACTAGCAGGGATTAAGGGAGAATGGGACACTGGTGGGGACATTCATATGCGTGTGATTGGACTTACTAATGAGAACCATCACTGTAGCAGCTCATCATAGAAGGTATTGTGGAATCACTTAAGGGAGGCTAAGTGCGTAGTTGCTACGCTAGCTACTCGGTGGATATCAATTCAGCCAGCCGTACATTCGCCCGAACATCACACTTAGCCCTAATCTATCTCCAGAACAGTCACATCCATAACCGGCCGCCTGCTACGCCAGTTCGGCCTCAATCACGCTCTCATACCCCCTGCCATCGGGCCATATCTTCACCAACTTCAGCCCGGCCTCGCTCAACACCTTGTTCCACACGGCCTCGGTCCTCTCGTTGGCTGATGCCTGCAACACTAGGCAATCCAGCGTGGCTTGGTAGCAACTGGTGCCCGTTGTCGGGATCACAATGTCGTTGATGAGCACCTTGGAGTAGCCGGGCTTCATAACGGCGGCTACCTGTTTCAGGATTTTGACCGAAGTCTCATCCGACCAGTCGTGAAGAACGGCATGCATGTAGTACGCCCGGCTCCCGCGCACGGGCTGTACGGCGTTCGGCGCAAAGAGGTCGTGTCCTACCGTTTTGATCGTGTCCGTAGCAAGCGTCACCGAAGCAACAACGTCCGGCAGGTCCTCGAGGACCAGAGACCCCGCAGGAAGGTCCTGGTGTTTATGGAGAACGCGGAGAAGGTCGATGCCATGGTGGCCACCAATATCCACCACAAAGGGACTGCCATCACTCAAGTCAGCGCCCTCCAGTAGCGCAGTAGTATCGTAGAACTCGGGCCACGGCCTCTTTTGCTTAGCCCATAAGTCCATAAAGGACGAGAAACTCTCCTGGTGTACTGGGTTCGCACTGCATCGTTCAAAGAAGGTCTTCCTCTCGGGAAAGGAGTCAACGTAGCAACTGTCGCTGTCGTCCACTGGCTTCCGGTAGTCGGTCTTAGCCAGGAAGGCAGGCCAGTGCATGGCACACTGCGCGATATGGTCGGTTCTGTGATCTACCGGTTAAACCTTCTAGCGTCGAACATTTTACAATAGACAAGCTGCATACCTGATTCGCAGCGCTGGTGCGACATGGGTACCCTTGTCGCCCAGGGCAAGCGAAAAGGCTGTTGGCGCGTAGCGATCTTCCCCGGTTTCCTGGACAATGTGGTTCGCAGCCATTAGTCGCAGTTGGTGACCTAAAACATATATGAGCCGCTTAAGGTCAAAATCTAGATCTGGCATCAATGCTCACGCAGTAGCTCCGGGTCGACACCTTTCTTAGCGATTGCGGCCAAGTCCTCAACATGCTTCTCTCCGCCAACAGCGGTCCAGGCGTCCCATAAACCCACGTCAATCAGGGCTTGGAGCACAGAGAACATAATAGGCTCTTCAATCGCTAGTCGCATGGTCTTCTCTTCCTTGGTCTCCAGTTTATGGAAAAGCTCACGGGCAGACAGAGCCAACCGCTGTCGGGAGGCATCACTGTCTTCGAAGGTTGTCAGATCGACTGCGTTGAGCTTTTGAAGCAGTTCTTGCACTATAGTAGCCATAGTAGGGGTATTCATTGAGGAAAGTAAATTTTAGGGAATTATCATGAATAATTATAAATGCAAAATTGGTCAGCCTAGAGCTTTAATATATACTTCGTGTGCAGGCGGAACTTTCCCGGTATATTTCGACGTGCATTTTATTATTATCGCCGAGAGAATGGAAACTTCGGTGTCTTACATCTCTTTTAGGGATGGGTTGACAATCTCCGTGGAATATATTATTAAATATATCGGAGTGCAAGGTTAGACCATCTTGAAAAATTACGCTAGTAGATATCACAGTTACTCAGCGATAATGCACAAGTCGCTTCAGGTTCATATTTTTACGTGTCCTAATTCTTTACTAGATGCCATTGCAACGCTGAGAGCAAGTTGACATTCGAGCCAAAGACACCGTTACATACCCCCTCATACTGGTCCACGTTCATCGTCTTCTCATGCTAGCTATCCACAACCCTCCCAGTCGGTCTATTCCCTTTTAGTATACCACCCCATGTACACCCTTGATCTCTCTAATATATTTCCCCTCTCAGTCGAGGAAAGATAGGGAGTAAGTTACTTGCGAGAAGCCAGAACTAACAAGACAAAGGGTGAGCGCCTACAGATTGAGATCGGAACGGGCTTAACTTACACCATACCAACAGTAAGATGTGTAATCGTCTTTCTCGTCATAGCTCCAAAGATAGCCCCCAAAGCACCGTAGAGCGAGACTCGCAAACACGATACTGGCTACAGCTGGTGGCTGCCATAAGGCGATGAGCCCGATCGTCCAGGCCGCGATCAAGGCGGCGAGCGACCAGCGGGCCATAGGTTGAGAGAGCAGCAATGGGATTGTTTTGCGACCCATAAGTGCATCCGCAGAACGATCACGGAAGTCTTGCGCATGGCCCTATATTGACGCGGCTGGTCTCAATCGCCCCAAAGAACATGGCCTAAAGACTTACCGTAGTGGCAAATATAGCTCCGGTCATGACCATAGCGATTGCCTTCAAACCGTGTACCTCCCTTCCATGGTCTTTGAATGCGTTAGTATAGACTTTTATTCACCTATCCATCCACAGTCACAAAGAATTGAAGGCTGACCGAGTATGATGGTGGTTCCCCAACAGTAACATGCGAGGCCTACAGCCCCAATGACATTTTTCACGACGGGTACTGCGGCAAGCCCCCCTTCGTTGTAGATCAAGATGGCCACCGAATAAGTTAGCGTACACGGGATCGTGTTGGTATACAGGGCTGCAACCCACATGAGCGTAAAGAGCACGTAGTAGAGTATGGTTGCGCTTTCCAGTGATATCATCCCCGATGGTAGAGGTCGATGCGGTTTTGCCATTCTGTCTTCCTCCACGCCGTCGATCTGACCGAATCAGGACATAAGTCATAATCTAGGGGGCAAAGATCCCTCTGACCTGATTTTTAACCTACGTTGATGTCAGTCGAAGGCAGCTTGGGCATATAACAGATCTCCTGGAATGTACCTGGAACGTAAGCAAGTGCAATTGGTTCCATAGAAAGCCCTTCACAATCAGATGTAAACTGGATGGTCCAGCGAGCACAAGTGCTATAGTCATCTTCTTATTGTTCAGTACTCAGCGGACAAACTACCGCATGATACGTACAGTAGGCAAAACCGCGGCAGGAATATCAGATTTTCCAAACAAGTATAATGTCTTCATAAACTCCATGGAGGAGGATATATATCCGAAGGGATTTTTCATCACTGACTCGAAAGAGCTCTTCATGGCGACTGACAAGGCAGAAAGATGTAGTCTTCAAGAAGCCAAACAAGATTGAGGATATTGATTGATACCAATGGTTGACCTGCGAATCGCCGATGATAAGGACGTCACACATGTACCCTGATTTGGCGAATCTATGGCATTTGTGTGAAGGCGATAAGCACCTAGGGCTTTCATTCAGGCATGCCATTCATTCCATGCTTCGCTGGCAATGTCCTCTCCCATTGATATACTTCCCGATTAGGAAAGTTCCATTAGCTTCATCCTGGGGATAACCAAAATGGAAGGTTCCGAGGCTTTTGGAAAACTGAAATACAGTCAGATTTAAATCACCGGCCTGAATTTCTACCTTTGGTTTAGCTATCTCTTAGATGCATTCCAGACTGGTCTGAATCACTTGGTTTGTTGGATGGTCCCATCCCGAATCTATATTCGACTGCGGATGGCTGCTTTAGACAAATTCCGAAGCCATCTAGCGCTTCACTCAATGGTAACGAAGTTTATTCATGCAGCAGGTTGGAACTGAATAGCCACCTAGCCTGAAGGGCCAAATCCAGACTCTTAAAACCCTCCATAAGAGCGCTTCTTATACCAAGCAACCTGTCAGACTTCCGCACCACTGAAGATTGCCAGTTCCCATCTCAGCCATCATGGCTTCTGGTATATCCATTCCAATCAGCTATGTGGCTTTGATAGCCTTACTTGGCCTGCTGGTTGTGAAATGGCTTTCCAAGCGCACAGCAAACTATCACCTCCCCCCGGGCCCAAGGCCCCTACCCATTATCGGCAATGTCTTGGATCTCCCCCCGAAGGGAATCCCAGAGTATCAACACTGGTTCAAACACAAGGATGCCTATGGTCCCATCAGCTCAATTAATGTGATGGGGCTGCACCTCGTCATCTTTCATGACAAAGAGGCTGCGTATGCAGTAATGGGAAAGAAAGCCCAGAAGACATCGGCAAGGCCGCAGATGAACTTTGCCGCAATGTGTGGTTTCGAAAATTTCCTCATTACACACCAGTACGATGCTAAATATCGTCTGCATCGAAAGATGGTTCAGCAGGAAATTGGCACCAAAGGGCTGTCCGCCACCTTCCAGCCCATACAAGACCAGGAATCCCTTCAATTTATCCTGCAAACCTTCAACAACCCTGATAATATGATGGTCTATTTGAAAACGTAAGTTGCGCTTCTTTCCCCGGTAACTGAGGGGACTATAGTTAGAAAGCTGACGGCACTCCCAGTCTGGCCGCAGCCATCGTTCTCAAGATCACGTATGGCTATGCGATCGAGAGGGATGCAGTTGACCCACTGGCGGAACTGATTGAGCATACGATGGACAACCTCTCCCAGGCATTTGTGCCGCTCGCCTGGGTGGTCGATTCCGTCCCTGCCATCGAGTATCTGCCTGACTGGTTCCCTGGGACATCCTACCGAAAGACCGCTCGGGAATGGAAAGCCGTCAACGAAGCCGCGGCCGAGCTGCCTTACTCGTTTGTCAAGCGGCAATTGGCACGGAAGGCTCATCGACCCTCATACGTTTCAAATCTGCTAGAGCAGTACATGGCCAAGAACGGCAATGAGGAAAGCTTGTCACCGGCCGATGAAGAGGCCATCAAGTGGTCCGCCGTCAGTCTCTATGCCGCCGGCTCGGACAGTACGGTTGCCATTATAGAAAGTGTGATTCTAGCCTTCTTGATCTTCCCAGAAGTAGTGCAAAAGGCGCAAGAAGAGATTGATCGTGTCGTCGGTTCGGATCGACTCCCCAATTTCGAGGACCGGAAGGATATGCCTTACGTCGACGGCATCATCAAAGAAGCCTGGCGGTGGAATCCCGTTGGGCCGATGGGCTTGACCCACAAATCCGAAGAAGACATCGTTTACGGAGAGTACCTCATTCCGAAGGGATCATATTTACTTCCCTCTCTCTGGTGGTTCTTGCACGACCCGAAGGACTACTCTGAGCCAGGCGTCTTCAAGCCGGAGAGGTACATGGCGCCCCTGAATGAGCCCGATCCCAGTGATCTCGCCTTTGGCTATGGCCGAAGAGCCTGTGCTGGCCGCTTTTTCGCGGACGCGAGCGTTTACATCACCGTCGTACGACTGCTGGCAGTCTTTCAGATCCGTAAGGCAAAGGATGCGCACGGCAACGACATTCCTGTCAAGCTTGAGTCGGTGTCCGGCATGGTCAATCGCCCCAAACCATACCAATTCAAGATCGAGCCACGCAGCGCGCATTACGCAGATCTTCTGCGCCGCATTGAGGCTGAGCAAGGCCCGATGGCCGGGGATGCACCTCTCCTCAATATAAGCACGGTGTAGGAGTCCCTCGGACCAGGCTTCTGTTGGACTGAATTATTTTGTTACGGCAGGCGCTATGCTAGACTGATGACCTGGGACGGATAGTTATGCCTTTGGAAATGCATTCAATGAAATTGTTCTATCTCCAGATCCTCCCGTTGCAGGATTAGATGCGCAAAACCACTTCGTTCTATTGATTGTATTGAATTTGTATTTGGAGTGCTCTCATTTGGGAGAGCCACCCTTTTCATTGTCTATCTTCCGTCCATCTTTTGTCTCCGAGCGGGGACGTTAGGCACGAGTAGTTGCAAATCACTGTAAGCCGTTTGTACCACGTCGGCAGCGGCACGGAGCGATTTATATGCCTTGGTTCCCTTTATAATATCATTTTGTAGAAGCTCCAAAATCTGCTTGAGATCTCTGATATGCATGCTCACGATCGGAAATAGAAGCCTGAGATGTAAGGCGGCAGCCCGAACGTGATATTTCCCCACATAGATGTCCGATAAAGGCGACACATCGTGGATTGACGTAGTCTTACCCTTATGCTGGTACATTACTAGCTGACAGCAAAGGCTTTGCGCGAAAGTCGCAAGCTGCTGAAATATAGTGACGACAAACATTGGGTTTGTAGTGCAGACACAGCAGAGCTTGCACGGCAACACCTGTTTACACGTCTCGACGCCGTCCCGCAAATATACAAGCAAATCGTCGAAGTGATCTACTTCATCGAGGTTGCTGCCGTCATCACCACTGACCCTCTCAAGAATATCAGCAAGAGATCGAATACACCCGCAGCCGCGGCTCCGGGATGTATGTGAGTCCACGGAAGTCACAGTTGTTGGCGGATGTATGACGAGGCTGCTCGGGCTATCGTCGTCGATGATCGACGCAGTCGTAGAGGGCGAGTATGAAGAGGTGTCGTGACTGTCGGGCAAAGTAGACTCCATTGGGATGGCATTGATACTCTCGCCCTGGAGAAGGTCTAAGCTCTGAGAATCCTTTGAATGGAAGTCATCCCAGTCATGGAGAAACTCATGAAGGACGGGGCCCGACGACGTGATCGGCGTCCAGAGCCCATCTTTGGTGTCCGCTGGTGGCAATTGTTGGTTCGTGTCTACTGGTCTACTAAGTGCGTCCCCCGTTGCAGACCGGCTGTCGGTATTCCTTCTGGTTTGTTGTCTCTTTGCGGGCGGCTTGGAGGAAGAGTTCGGTGCTGATGTGGATTGTCGACGTTGTGAGCTCGGCTGATCGGTGGCCTTGATTGATGACCGGTAGGTGCAGGTGGTCAATGTTGCTTGACATCGTTGGCAGCCGTATCGGTCGCCGCTACATTTTACCTGATACAAATTACGTCAGACAGACTCTAGAACATGCTGGGACCTGAGACGGTGGCCTACCTTTCGACTCCGACACTGATCACACGCCTAAGAGTGTTTGCTTTAGCATCTGCTTAGCTCATTTCACCAAGGGAAGGCTCACCCACCACCACGGTATAATTGCGCGCATCGACACTACTATTCCCTGACAGGTCAACAAATTCGAGAGTGTTCTGCTCATCCCTACTGCAGCGGAAAGCACCGAACATGGCTGGGAGAAATGACAGGGATCCTGCTCTGCTGTCGGCGCCGTCGTATATACCGTTGAACACGGCCGGAATCTCCCTCGACTCGGATGAGGGGTATCAACCTCCGCCTTCTCTGCCATCCGCATAATCAGCCTCGTGTACTTACCTTTGTTGCCTGAAACCTATAGATTGTGCCCAGTATATTTCAGTCATGGTCATGTATGGCGTACTTACAGTTAGTCACAAAGGTCAATTCTTCCCCTGTCGAGATGGTTGCATCCAATAGAGACCTCCCGGCCCGTTAGCAGTGAGCCATTGTTATCAGTAGTGTCAGACTGGTATCACACCTTCGCCTCCCGGGATTGGGGGAGGCAGTGCTCCCGCCTTCTGGGTGACATCGCCAAGTCTGGCCGATTTAATCTCATTTGTGAGTCGGGCACTAAAGGGGTCGGGATGTCACGATCGGGAAAAATGGAACTACTAGCGAGAAAGGCTTAACTCGTGGGATCGTTATCATGGATACATGTGTTTCGATACCTCGTCTTTGGGTTTCGGCTTACCACTTACCTAGGTGGGAGATATCCGATTCGGGAGATGGCCGAGGATCGTTGATCTGCAGGAGGTTTAGGTAATGATAGTAGTAAAGGGTTAGACGGGCGAAGGAGTGAGAAGCAGTTCAGAGGGACTTTCGGAACTTTGCTGTCAAGTGCCATCAACAGTCTAGAGGTGACCACCTCGTAGGCTAACCGAAACAGGTATCTATATGCCTGGAGATTAGACTAAGGACCGAAAAGTACGGTAAATCTTACCACAACGCTTAGGAAGGCATAGAAAAGTGGGAGTGAGTGTCGAGGTCGTGAACCCGATCCAGGTTTACGAATCCTTAGAGCACTTAAAACCGGAACTGATTTGTTCCTGATAGTATCTCTCTCCTCATTCCTATCGCCCTCAATTGTGCCACCCCAGGCCCTAGTTGCGTGGTGGGATCACATTATCAGTTACCATCTACAACCGTCAGTTTCACTGCAATCATGGCCCTTAATTTAGAAGAAGCCAAAGCTCACCTTCGGGAGCACGGTTGGGCCAGGATTCCGTCGGTCCTGAGCAAGGAGGGGGCCGCCCACACGTTGGATAGACTCTGGAAGGCCAAAGAAGCGTCTGAGGCGAATGGGGAGGATACGTTTCAGCCCATTCTGGACCCGAATTCGGCAAATGTACGCGTGTTCTACCTTCCGGAGCTGGATGAGCGGTTGCGTGACCTGCTCACGCACCCCACGGGCATTGAGTTGACCCAGTCAGTGCTCGGGGACAAGTTCCTCGTCAGCAACTTTTCGGCCAACATCGCGCGACCAGGGGCGCAGAGCATGGCCCTCCACTCCGATCAGAGCATCGTCCTCCCGGAGCCATGGCAGGATATATGGGCCGTCAATGTGATTTGGTGCCTTACCCGAATGACGAAAGAAAACGGTGCGACTCTATACATTCCGGGCTCGAATCGGTGGACCCGCTGGGAGGATGTTCCACCCAACGCCCCGGACCTCCTAGTGCCATTTGAAGCGGATGCGGGCGACATTGTGGTCCTAGATGGCCGTCTGTGGCATACATCTGGGAGCAATGTAACGTCGGATGAGGACCGTGCCATCCTGTTTGCGTATTATACGGCGCCGTACATGCGTCAGTTAGTCAACTGGACAGCCAAGTTACCCAAGGAGCTTCAAGAGTCACTGAGCCCGGAGTTGAAGGAATTATTGGGACTCAGTCATATTGGCTATGTGGTCCACGGCGACTTAACATACATGGCCGACAAATACCCCAAAGCTAGTCCATCGTCAGCGCCTACGAGGGGTAATGTATGATAGGGAAATAGTTGAAATCGCGGAGAATATCTGAACTGAGACACGTCGAAGAGGGAACAACGTAGAACGCACTGTCCATGCTCGGTCTCCATTTGTAGACCGGCAGTAGATACAGGTACGACAGACACAACGCAGGGAACAATACGCGGGTCAGAAAAATGTCTGAAGACATCTCGCAGCTTCTGGACGAGTGGGCGACACGCCTGTATTTCGCGATGGCCACCACGAGGGGGTCATCTGACTCTCTGAGCAGTCTGCAAATGCGCTGTGGGACTATTGGCTCCGTAGAGCGCGCGGACGACCCCCAAAGCCTCGGGAGAATGTGAAGAGCGTTCAGTCATCTCACTCCCACATGCCCTGCAACCACGTTGGCATCAGTCTTCCTTCCTGGGGACTTTCCTCTCCTGATGTTATTCGATCTAGCCTACGTGCTACCGTGCTTTATCCATTTCATCTGACTAATCTTTCCATACCCTACTATGTTATTTAATCCGTGCTGTACGACGTGGACTATGCGCTATTCACATTGTCGGTCGTGGGGATCGGAATCGGGCCTCCGGGAGAGTCTTCCAGTCTTGCCGTCAAGACCTCGACCCCAGTTTCGGTAACCAGCAAGGTGTGTTCTGCACAGATGTTAGCGTTGGATTCTGTATGTAATATGCATACTGTACTTACCAAATTGAGCCGTCCGTTTACCATCCACCGTTACGTTAGTCCAGTCATCGGGCCAATAGATTTCCCGAGGTTTTCCCAGTGTCAGAATAGGCTCAATAGTAAAAGTCATTCCAGGTTTACACACTCCTGGCACCTTACTCTTTGCATAATGAGGGATCCATGGCGGGGGGTGGAATTCGGTGTTGATACCATGGCCGCCCCAGGTTGCGTGGACACTACAGTTTCGGGACTTTGCATGCTTCTCAATAACCTTGCCAAAGTCTCGGAACAGGGTACCAGGCTTCACGAGCTCAATTGCCATATCCAAGCACTCTCGTGTTGTTTCTACCACCCGGACTGAGTCGGGATCGGCCTTGGCTCGGTCACCCACATAATACGTTTCGTTCAGATCAGCGTGATATCCTCCGTGGTATAAGGAGATATCAAGATTCAGGATATCGCCATCGAGAAGGATCCGCTGATCTGGAATCCCGTGACAAACCACCTCATTCGGGGACGTACACAGCGATTTGGGGAAATGGTTATAGTTTAAGGGCGAAGGATAGGCCTGTCCGTATTAGAAAGTATATATTATTAGGAAGCGAGTAATACCTACATCGCGTTCGACGCAAGCCTTGTGGCAGATCTCGTCCAGGTAATCAGTGGTAATGCCCGGCCTGAGCTCTGCTGCGGTAATGTCCAATACCTCCCGAGCTAAACGGCATACCTTGCGCATGGCCTCCTGCCCCTTAGCATCGAGAATATCAATCTTTGTCCGGCTTAAGCGCCGTTCTCCCTTCGGAATACCGGTCTCAGACCAGTCAGGGCGTCTGATCGACTTAGGAAGGGTACGCATCGGAGACAGCGGATAGACCGGTCGAACCGACCCGGTGAAGGAGTAGGTCGGAAAAGGATTGTAAAGACCGGTAACTGGATCGGGTTCAGAGACAACCTTCGGAGGGATTATTTTGCGGAAGATACCATTCTGTGTCTTTCCTTGAGCCGTTTTGTGGACGGTCTTGTGTTCGGCCTATCGCACGAGCTCAGTCAGCGATGAGATTCCAGTCCTGACCGAATGAGGAAACCCACCCAGTTCTTCTTAAAGCAGTCTTGGGAGCAGAAATAGCTATCTTTCATACCCAGCTTCAAGCAAGTTGGACACTGCAAGGCTTCCGCATCATTGTCACAGTCGACTCCGAGACACTTTCTCTTCGAGGGCAGTTCGGAGGCGATGTCGCCCATGGTCGTGGCTAGGCCTGGTTCCTGGAATATGGAATGCAACGATCAAACGGAGATTTGGAGGGAAGAAGAAAATGTATGGTTCCGTTTCGCTCTCGCTAGTCAGGGGTCGGTCCACGCACAGAATGGTTCGATTGTCACGGAACCAGTCTCACTTCGCTGGAAGAAATTCGTAATCAGCAAAAGTGGCATTTCATTCATTGTGTGAGTTGAGAGGCGGGAGGAGAGACGGCATTGTCAGATTGGGCAACTGCGCCGAATGTGACGAGAGGGCACGTGACGAGGGAAACTCCGATCCTCAGTTGGCTGTTCACTCGTTCAGGGCCGGACCCATTAGTACGTTACATAGCGGGAAGTTTGTCATGTAATCCACCCGTTGATAGGCTGATCATCCGATCCGTTACGAAGATCCACTCGGCCCGGTGGGGCGCGGGTGGGTCCGGCCCGAAATACTTACTAGTTCGCGGGGCGCAAATGGGCGACGAAGGCTGACCACAAACTGAACCGTTTTCTTTTCTACAAAAGTTTCAACCCCAATTTTATTCACGACACCAACTGCCGGTCGCAAAAATGGCTGCCACAGCCCCTGCTGAGGAGCTCAAGACGCTCAGCGGTGTGTTATGTCTCTGATGCACAGTATGAATCCAACGACACGTGCTAATCGAAGCGTGTTTAGTTAACACCCCCCTTGACAAGGGGAACGGTGAGAACGAAACCGCAAACGGGGATGCCGCAGAGCACTCGGACGACGGATCCGATGCAGACGAACAGGTGCCTGAAGCCACTGCCCCCGCCGGAGAAGGTGGCGCCAAGAAAAAGAAAAACAAAAAGAAGAAGCCCAAGAAGAAGAAGAAGAGTCCAACGGCGCAGACCGAGCCTCCGTCAATCCCCCTGTCCCAACTGTTCCCAAACAAGAACTATCCAAAGGGTGAGGAGGTCGAGTATAAGGATGACAATCTGTATCGCACCACCAGCGAAGAGAAACGCTATCTGGATAACATGAACGCCGACTTCCTTTCGGACTACCGCCAAGCGGCGGAGACGCATCGTCAGGTCCGCCAGTGGGCGCAAAAGAACATTAAACCAGGTCAGACGCTTACCGAGATTGCCAACGGTATTGAGGATAGCGTTCGTCGGCTAGTGGGACACGATGGCTTGACCGAAGGCGATGCGATTATCGCCGGCATGGGTTTCCCCACGGGCTTGAACCTCGATGACGTTGCGGCCCATTACAGCCCCAATGCAGGCTGCAAGAAGGTGCTTCAACAGAACAATGTCATGAAGGTAGACATCGGTGTTCAGATAAATGGTCGGATCGTCGATAGTGCCTTTACCATGGCATTCGATCCGATGTATGACAACCTCCTTGCCGCCGTCAAGGACGCCACCAACACAGGTCTCCGCGAAGCAGGAATTGATGTTCGCCTCGGTGAGCTTGGCGGATATATCCAGGAGGCTATGGAAAGCTACGAATGCGAGATCAATGGGACGACTTACCCCATCAAGCCAATTCGTAACATCACCGGCCACAATATCTTACCATACAGCATCCACGGTACGAAGAGTGTTCCCTCCGTCAAGTCGAGCGATGCGACCAAGATGGAAGAAGGTGATGTCTTTGCCATTGAGACTTTTGGTAGTACTGGTAACGGTCGCTGTGTCGAGCAGGGTGAGGTTTCACATTACGCCCTGAGCAGCGATGCGCCCAAGGTAGATCTCCGTCTGTCGTCGGCTAAGTCACTGTTGAATACCATAAAGAAGAACTTTGGTACTCTTCCATTCTGTCGGCGCTATCTGGACCGGATCGGACAAGATAAGTATCTACTCGGAGTATGGATGTCCTAGCGCTAAAAGATGCATTTCAAGTGGCTAACTAATGGATAGCTGAACAATCTTGTAAAATCCGGCATTGTGGACGATTACCCGCCTCTGGTGGACAAGAAGGGCTCCTACACTGCCCAATTTGAGCATGTAAGTGATTCCCTCGGTGTCGTTAACAGATCCTTATTAATGTCCCCCTGCAGACCATTTTGCTCCGGCCGAACGTGAAGGAAGTCATCAGCCGTGGAGACGACTATTGAGTCTGTCGGGAATGGTTACGCTCAGCGTATGGTACAATCAAAGATGGCAGGCTCACGCACACATCAGGATTTATAGCGGTAACGCAGACCCCTGGATCATGTGTCTGCTCTGTTACAACGGCTGGACCGCATTCTCATTGTAGCTTGAGCACTTTCGTCGTACAGCCCGAACATCCGAAACAGATATCCAAGCATCGTTCTTTGTGAAGCCGTCAGTCCTTGCAAATGCTATGAACTGACTTAGGATCTACCAAAAAACTCTTTTGATCAGAGGAAATTATCGTTATCTGTATATTGGTAGAGATCATGTATATCGCTACCATGTGACCGTAGTATCGTCTTATAGTCCTGATAAAGCACTTCCCACAAAAGCGACGACCCATTGTGCAGACTGATATATGCCACTCTTTCCTATTCGGCGCCATCAGCCACTTTCGGCGTACGGACTACTGTAGTACTGCACCTTGGTTTCGGTGCCAAGTTCCCGCCTTCGGCATCAAGTACCGTAGCGGATGGGTTGCGAGCACCAAAATAAGCGAAAGGAGAAACAAAACGGAGAACATGTGATGACACTGGCTCGCAGACATTCCAGGCGACTTATTTAAGACCAGCCTGTCCGATAGACTTTCTCAGCTACCAACCTTGGCCAGCAGTGAACTCCACAACACGACAATGGATAATTTTATGGACATGACGAAGAAAGCCGGCCACACGGCCGAGCTGGAACGCCTGGTTGCTCTCCACGAGACATACTATGATGCCATGGATGGCAAGCTTGTCTTGGCACCTCTCGACCTCCAGGAGCCGGGCAAGAAGATCCTCGACTGCGGTACCGCGGACGGTTAGTGGCCCTTCTCCAACATCCGGATGAATGTCGACTGATATTTGTCAATAGGTATCTGGCTTCGCGACGTGCGGAAGTCGGCCCCAGCGGAACACCAGTACTTCGGCAGCGACATCGAGCCGGAGCTCTTCCCTGAGCAACCTGACGGCATTACATACTTCCCCCAATCTTTCAGCGAGCCATGGGCCGACGAGCACAAAGACGCATTCGACCTTGTCCACGTCCGGGGGAGCCTGGCGGGCTCCAGCCCCAAGAGGCCCGTCGATGTGGTCAAGGGCCTTGCCTCCGTGACGAAGCCGGGCGGCTGGGTCCAGCTCATGGAGTTGAATGCGTTCAGCGCCCCCAGCAACGGTCCTGCCATGACCGACTTCGCGCGCATGGCCTCCGAGATCTGGGCCGGGATCAAGGTGGGTGACTTCGCCAATGAGCTGAAGTCCATGTTGGAGGAGGTGGGCCTGCAGAACGTCCAAGAGAAGAGAGTCATTGTTTCCTTGGGGAAGCAGGCGAAGCCCGAATTACATGCCAAGAGTATCCATGGGGTGACCGGACCTATTCGGCCCCTGACGTCGGTCGCGCGGAGTGTGCCCAATTCTTTCACGGATGAGCAGCTTTCATCCCTACCGGACCGGGTGAGGGAGGAGTTGGAGACTGAGGGAGGAAGGGTTGAGATGGTTGTGGCATGGGGTCAGCGTGTCTAGATGGGGTTTCCCTTCATGCCCTTCACATTGGCGCAGAGAGTTGGAGTATATATGTTTCATGTCCTTTATGAACGTCTTGCGTACATCCCTATTATAACTTGTCCGTGTGGGCCCGCAAATATTAGGAATGCACGAGCTATAAACATTCTATAATTCTGTTCGTGTAAAGAATCCGTCCGATACGTATAATTCCCGGTACTGTATGGTGTATTATACCATAAAAACCAGGCCCCACTATGTGAATACCTGAAACTAGAGGTATTGTCGATACGACAGACATTACGTAACTTGAGTTTGCCATGCCCCACAACTGTTTTCCAAGTCCTTCACATGTTCAGGATCATGCTTTTCAGACGCGAGATGAGGCAAATCTACTAGTAGAACGATCAAACGGGAGAAAATTCGCTAGCAGATGGAATCTGTACTCAAGTGATTTTTTGTTCGTCAATCAAGGTTCTTCTGGGATCACCTCGGTGGTGTAGAAAGGTGATTCGAGCTGTACTCCATAAGTATTATACTCACATTGGGTAGAGACATCCAAATATATATACCACATTGAGAGGATAGTTAGACTCTTCCACACTGATAATATATTCCTACAGGCATTTTGCTAGGGATTGCTATTTAATTCAAGCTTGCTTAATATACGGAGAGCAATAGCAGCAGCAGAGAGACTTAATCCTCGAGCGTATTCTAGTTCTCATGAGTATGTCGAGTGAAGATGTGTTGGGGGGTTGATAATATCGACCACGTGATGATAGGGTGATGGACCTGGAGATGGACCTGGAGATGGACCTGGAGATGGACGTCGCAGGAGCTGCTAACCTACTAAATGTGCCCGGCACGCGATCGGCAGGGATGCGATCGGCGACTCCCCGCTCAACCAGCGAGATTTCTCACTGATCTAAACTTGCTTCTGATCAAATAAACTACTATTATACTCTTCGGCGAACTAACTAACTAACTGACGAAAATTGAATGTCTCTTTCGAATCGCTTTCCTCACGATCAGTATCCCCCAAGACTACGTGACCGTTGCCAGACTACAGGACCAGCTCACGCAAGTCGGATTTCGCCCCCAATGGCACTCTCTCAATCCCGAATTTGGCGTCTAACCACTGGAAGGTTCTGTGCGCCGAGTAACCGAACGCCCCGATTTTGGCCTGGAGCCCTCCGTGGGCGATGTCCTGGGCGATCCACTTTTCCTTGTCCACACCCGGTGTTAGACTCGTCAGGCAGTCGTAAATCTTGTCGGTGGTGGTCGCTGGGTCGAAATACCAGCTCGCTCCGGCCCCAGTGACCAACGTGGGACACTTTACGTTGGCAAGATACTCGGTTCCGTCTGGGTTGAGTAGTGTATAGTCGCCGAAACTCCGCATGATGTCGGCCTCGGTGGTAGTGCCGGTGGCCCACTTTAGATGATTGAACTCCCATCGCGCTTGGAAGTCCAATCGCTGGAGAGACCGCAAAATGCCGTTGAAGACTGCGTCGGACAGCCAGCCGTTCATGAAGCCGTGGAAGAGAGGCCCGGGCATTCTGCCGCCGACAAAACTGGCTAAACTGTAGAATCCGTCGACGCTCACGCAAGCCTTGATCCGTGCGTCGGCGGCCGCACGCAGGGCAAAATATCCCCCCATCGAGGCCCCGGTGACAGCAATGTGATCCAAGTCGAGCTCCAGCTCGGGATGGCGGGTGGCGAAGTCAAAGAGGTGATCCAGGACCGCACTGGTGACCACTTCCCAGTCTGGGCGCATCGGTAGCTTGTCGCGACGAAGCACAATTCCCTGACCAGGTCCTTCGAAGGTGACCACGGCATACCCGAGTTCGGGCCCAAATGCCGGGTTGACAAAGTAGATCTCCTCTTGCGTCGAATCGCCTCCCCCAGAGTTTAGTAGGATAGGAATCTTGCGACCCGGAATGCGCCTGGCAGCTTCGGGCAGGTAGAGGTAGCCGGGCAACTTGAGCCCATTTTCGTACGGTATCTCCAGAAAGAACGTCTTCCCATCGCGATATTGGACGCCCTTTCGAAAGTTTGCAATGGCGTGCTCGATACTTGGAAGAACGCGCTGATCGTGCCCAATTGGGCCCTCGTTGAGCATGAACTGCGCCGCGCGGATGTAGTTGGAAGACCGGAGGTAGGCACGACGCGCGGATACACGGTCGCCTGCCTGCTCGGCCTCCTGAGCGATCGCTTCTGCTTTGTTACCGGCATCGAGGAAGGCGCTGAACCACGATTCCGGATCAAGATCCTTGATTTTGGCGGCTGCTTCGAGGGCCTCACCGATCTCGGCGCCCTCGTGGGGCGCCATGGCGAGAAGGCGAAGGTACTCGAAGTTAAAGAAGGGGGACTTGAAGAAGGTGTGCATCATCTCCATGATTAAGAATTAAGTACAATGGGTTGTGGAATGGGCATCCCCTGAAGGCCAATAACAAGTTGTGGAGCAATGAAGGTCCTGGCATTCCAGTCAGGCCTCTGGTGTATAGATCCTTTAGCCCGTATTTGACAAAAGCTTCGAGGAAATTGAACCAAGAGGTCAGACTCAGGGACGACAACTGCGATCAGAGAGCGATTACTCACAGGGTACGAGACCTTTCGCAGAAAATCCCCTGTTCGGCAGTCCGTACGGTGATAGGATTAATGTTGAATATGGCAATATGGAATGAACTCCGACAGGACACACCAGAAGAGGTTTTCTTTGGACGATTGCTCTGCTGTGCTCAGATTCGGCACCGTGCGAGTTGTATACTAGGCAAAAGCACCGGATCCGAATCATTCGGTACCTTGACCTTTGGGTGTCTGGGGCCAACCCCTTCATTGGCTAAATCGCCGTCCCACCACGGCCTTTATTTATTTCGAAGACCAAGCCAGGGTTACACAGCTTGATTTTACTACGTTTGTACTACATCTAATTAATAATTCGTCGCCGTTCGCCATCAAGCGTATGCAGATCTACGATGGCATACACACATTCGCCAAAAGAACCCATCGCTATCATTGGTAGCGGATGTCGGTTCCCAGGGGACTCGACCTCCCCATCAAAGTTGTGGGAGTTGCTGCACTCGCCGCGAGATCTATCGAAGAAGATCCCCTCAGAATCACGATTTAACGCCGACGGATTCTACCACCCTAATGGCGAGCGCCACGGGAGCAGCAATGTCACCAAGTCCTATTTCATCGAAGAGGACCCACGACTTTTTGACGCCGGGTTCTTCAGTATTGCCCCCCGTGAGGCCGAGGCGATTGACCCGCAGCAACGGCTCCTGCTCGAGACTGTCTATGAAGCGATGGAAAATGCAGGACTCACCCTACAAGGGCTCAAAGGCAGCATGACCTCCGCCTATGTCGGCGCGATGTCGGCGGATTATACGGATACCCAAACACGGGATGTTGAGAATATGTCCCAGTACATGATCACAGGAACGTCACGCGCACTGCTCTCGAATCGTTTATCGTACTTCTTTGATTGGCATGGCCCCTCCATCTCGGTCGACACGGCATGCTCGTCCAGTTTAGCGGCGGTCCATCTCGGTGTTCAAAGTTTACGAAATGGCGAGTGTACAGCTTCTTGTGTGGCGGGCTCCAACTTAATTTTGGGACCGGATGCATATCTTGCGTCCACGAGTCTCCATTTGCTCTCGGCCACTGGAAAATCTCAGATGTGGGACCAGGGCGCCGACGGATATGCCCGAGGGGAAGGTATTTGTGCTTTCTTTATGAAGACGCTCTCTCAGGCTCTTCAGGATGGAGACCGAATTGATGCAATCATTCGAGAGACATGCGTCAATTCGGATGGCCGTACGAAAGGTATTGCGCTACCAAGTGCTGAGGCGCAGGCCGCGTTGATTAGCACCGCCTATAAGAATGCGGGACTAGACATCTTGAGAGCCGAGGATAGGCCTCAATACATTGAGGCACATGGTAAGTTCCATCTGCCTGCCAGCCTGGTTTCTGCAGGGTCAACAAGCTTGTGCTGGGTTTGTGATAATTTGACTGATGATTGTGCAATGTAGGAACTGGCACCCAGGCTGGAGACCCTAGAGAAGCATCTGCTCTCAGCCAAACGTTTTTCCCACCTGGCCACAACCATGATGAGAGACCTTCTCTGATTGTAGGGTCCGTGAAGACAATTATTGGACACACAGAAGGAAGTATGTAGTTCGACCTGTTACGCGTATCAGAGGCTGATCTCGGACACTGCAGCTGCCGGTATTGCGGGAATGTTGAAGACATTACTTGCGATGCAACACAAGACAATTCCGCCCAACCAGCATCTTCATAACCTGAATCCGAGCGTGGAGCCTTTCTATAAGAAGCTGCAAATACCCAATACTCCGCAGGAATGGCCACAAGTCCCTCCAAACCAACCGCTTCGCGCGAGTGTCAACGGTTTCGGCTCCGGCGGCACCAACTGCCACGCGATCATGGAAAGTTACATCCCCGAAGTCCATGACCATGGCCCATGGGGAAGACCGAAGGCAATCTGTGAGGTCCAACCTTCCGTTGTACCGGAGGTTGATTTTACCCCTACCCCTCTTGTTTTCTCGGCCAGTTCCGAATCGTCTCTGGTCGCAATGCTGGAGAAATATGCGCACTACCTGAAGACTACCGATGTGTCTATTCAACGTCTGGCGATGGTCCTTAACTTGCATCGTTCAACCCTTCCGGTGCGAATTGCCATCACAGGGAGCTCGAAGCAAGACGTACTAGAGGCGATCAACAAACAGCTGGCGAAAGTCCGCGAGAGCCCTGGTACAGCCATAGGCACCCGCCCCCCCGTCGTAGAATTCGATGAGAACAGACGGCCTCGGATTCTAGGTGTGTTTACGGGACAGGGGGCACAATGGCCGGGTATGGGCCAGGCTTTAATGAAGCGATGTGCCTTGTTCAGAGAAAAAATGGAGGTCATGGAGCAGGCACTGGCACAGCTTCCCGATCCACCGGAGTGGTCTCTCAAAGAAGAACTAATGGCACCACCCGGCAAGTCTCGTCTAAGCGAAGCCGAACTATCCCTCCCTATCTGTGCAGCGGTTCAGGTAGGACTTGTTAGTTTGCTCTCTGAAGCAGGCATCACATTTCACACTGTGGTCGGCCATTCGGGCGGTGAAATCGGTGCTGCGTATGCTGTCGGGAAGATCTCTGTAGAGGACGCGGTGAAGATTGCTTATTACCGCGGCATCGTCTGCAAGCTTGCCATTGGACCCGATGGAAATCGGGGAGCAATGATTGCTGTCGGGTTCGGTTATGAGGAAGGGCTCAATTTCTGTTCATCCGCTCAGATGAAGGGCCGTCTAACCGTAGCCGCTAGTAATTCGCCCAAGAGCGTCACGCTTTCTGGCGATGAGGACGCGGTCCTTGAGGCCAAGCAAATCCTCGATAATGAAGGCCTGTTTAATCGTGTGCTCAAGGTAGACACTGCCTACCATTCATCTCATATGTTGCCGTGTGCTGAGCCCTATACTGCTCAACTCGAAACCTGCAACGTCCAGGTAGGAAAGGGCAACGGAGTCACTGCCTGGGTATCTAGCGTCTATGAAGACAGCAGAACAATTACTGATGTACAGGATCCCGATATGCGGGGAGCATACTGGACAGATAATCTGATTGGACGAGTTCTGTTTTCTCAGGCACTTGAGGCCGCGCTCGACGATGGTAGAGGAGCCCTCGATCTCATCCTTGAAGTTGGACCGCACCCAGCCTTGAGAGGGCCGACACTGGAAACGATGAGGACCAAGCTTGGCTACGAAGTCCCCTATTCCGGTGTCTTAGACCGAAAGGCGGACGACATCACGGCGTTCAGCAACGCTTTAGGCCTTGTTTGGACACATCTGGGCTCTGCTTGTGTCAACTTTGCCGGCTACCTATCTGCATTTGAGGAAGGTAATCGTCAAGTAGATGTGACTCCTTTGTCGGATCTACCCACCTATCCATGGGATCACAAGCAGATCATGTACCGGGAATCCCGACTCAATAAACAGGTCAGACACAGATCGGCCCAGCCTCATGAGCTGCTTGGTAGCAGAACCCCGGATGACACAGATTATGAGCCGAGATGGCGGAACTTCCTTAAGCTGGAGGAGATGCCATGGTTACGCGACCATTGCATCGAGAACCAGATCATTGTGCCCGCAGCTACATATTGCGTTATAGCCCTGGAGGCTGCTAGGACCCTGGCCACAGGAAAGCAAGTGGAAAGCATAGAGCTTTCGAACGTGGCGATCCTCCGACCAATCGTCTTAGATGAGTCTTCTGGCGGAACGGAGACTTTGCTGTCTCTGCGCAGTGATATCGACTCTATCAAGGGCAAGACTGAATGTATCCGAGCGGAGTTCAGTCTCAGCGCGGGTACAGTGGAGGATGGACACATGAGGACAGCCGCTACGGGAGAAATACGTATTTCCCTCGCCAGCGAAGAATCCAACTCCACCGGCTTGTTTCCTATCAGATCCAACAAGCCACAACACGAGCTGTTGTCCGTCAATGTCAACCAGTTCTATGAATCCCTCAGCCGAGTTGGCTTGGGTTACAGCGGACCGTTCAGGGCTATAACCTCTGTGGAGAGACAGATGGACATGGCATCCGCTGTCATCGCGATCGATGAGGAAGTGGGAAGGTCAACTCCGGTCCACCCGACTTGGCTTGACGCATGCTTCCAGACATTCCTTGCAGCATATGCCGCTCCTCGAGATGGTGGGTTATGGACAGCGTTCATGCCCACTACGATCGGCCGCATGACCTTTTCTCCGACGCCAAACATCACAGGCTCTGTGACCGTCGACGCGCGCCTTACCGAATTTACACCAGGGTTTCAAGCAACCTTGCCAACAATTAATGGCGATATGAGTATCTACAACTCTAAGACCGGCCAGTTAGAAGTGCGCATCGAAGATTTCACAATGAGCTCCTTCCTTCCCGCTGGTGAGAAGGACGATAGAACATTGTATTTGAAGACGATATGGCAACAAGACATCCTCTCGGGAGCTACCTTCGAAGCGGAGGAGCAGACTTCTTCTCCCCGTGAGCTGAAGGTCATTGATGCCTGTGAAAAAGTAATTCACTATTACCTGTCACAGCTTAGTATGGACATGTCCTTCTACGAACTGGCCGACAAGATCCCAGGCTTAATGGGTTTGATTGAGAAGGCAGCAGCCCGTGATGCGAGCGAGCCAACTCAATCTGAGCTGGCTTCCATCATGGAAGATTTTCGGGAGCACATAGATATGCTGCTTGTTAAGGTAATCGGCGAGAAGCTCTTGAATAATTCTCCGGTCAGCGCTGAAGCACCAGCATCGCTGAGTGAGCTTGTCTCCCGTTGGCACAATGAAGGGATAGGGTTCGCCCAAGTTCACAAGCATATGGTGAGCGCAGCGAAACAGATTTCTCACCGGTACCCACGTATAAGAATTCTCCAAGTCGGACCATCTTCAGCCAGCCTTGTACGGTCTGTATGTCAGGAGCTTGGACAGGCTTTGGATTCATATACTATTGTGGATGGGTCCGCGGACGCTATTGGGGAGGTCAAGGCACACTTATCTGCGGATAATCTGAGAGTTGATTTCAAAACCTTCGACGTTGAAAACGGAATTGGAGAGTCAGCTGATATCGATCCCGGCTCTTTCGACTTGGTTATTGCTCACAAGGCCTTCACCAAACAGAGAGCGGCGCTG